TGTGTGTGTGTGTATTTTAATCTCAGTCTAACCAAGGACAAAAGTACTTGTATACAATAAATGCTTGACCAAAAAAGGTTTAAATAAAGTCTTTAAAAATTGCATTTCCTCCTGCCCCAGAGACTTGGCAGTTGAATGGGAGGGCATGCAAGTGAACTGCCTGGTAATGGTGCCTGTAACAGGGTAAGTTAAGTTCTGCCATTCAGCCATCATTGCTGAGAGGCAGACTCTGATGCCTGGATTTGAAATCTCACTATCTCTGCTACTCACTGTATAGCCCCAAGGCAAGATACTTAACCTCTCTAGGGATAATAGAGTAGCTAAGCTAACACAAATACAGATCTTAGGTAAGTGTTTGGAACATAGTGATACATATATTTACTATTATTATCATATCTGGATTTAGTTCATGAGTTTAATCTAGAATAGCTGCTCCTGGGTAGGTTAGCAAGTTCCCTTCTGACAGAAAAGCTGGGCCTCTCACCTCAAATATACTTCATGGATAGAAATTATGTTTCTAGCCAATAGGATGGACTCTTTCTGTCTCAAAAGTAGAATGCATGAAGACAGAGGCAAACTGCAGGTTGAGAGTACATTATCTGCTATGCAGTCAGTCACCAGATTAGCTCAATACTATAAAAGTATGATATGAACTGAGAAATCTAAGTAGATGTTCTTTGCTGCCTGTACCTGCCCTTGGGTGGAACAGTCTCTTTAACTCTATCATCACATTGACCAACACTGCTCCAGTTAGGTTGGTAAATAGTACCTTGCAGTCCTTTACCCCTCAGCTTGCTTCTCCATCATAGCAAAGTTCTCAAACTGCACACATTATTAAGCATCCGAAGCAGTTGGAGAAGCACTCTCTTCCACTCCAACCCATTTTCGGTGAACAGGGGGAAAAAAAATCCTGAACTTCAATCAACACTCTATTGAAAATCAATGTTAATGTTACGACTTTCAATGTCCAGCTTCCACCTGCTTCTTTCAAGGCTGAGTCACATAATCTAGTGAAGGGTAGTAAAGGGTAAGTAAAGAAGTAAGTAAAGGGTAGTACTTATAGCTCTTTCATCCAGTTTTCTGATGACAAGAGGTTCTCAGACTTCCAGTATCAATAGAAGAAACTCCTCAGTTCTAACCAGCAAACATTACAAAACTAGTTTGCTTGGCCCCCTTTCTCACTTGAGGAAATTCCACGCCAGGCAAGGTGGGTGTAGAGTGGAACACAAACCTTTTGATGTGGGCACTGAAGTCTTTATATCATATTTCCCAATTCAAAAGTAAATTAAAAATCTGTAACTGAAACCCTTCTTCCCTTTAAAAACTTCTTCCCATAGGTGTACTCCTGAAGGGGTGGCCTGCCACTCTACACCTGTGGGCGTTTCTTGTTAGGTGGAAAGAGACTTGAGAAAAGAAATGAGACACGGAGAAGGTCAGCAGTAAGATATGTGAATAAAGATCTCTGTGACATTAAGTTTAAGGAAAAGTGCTGTGCCTTGATATGCATATGTAAACATCTCCATAAACCTTTTTAGTGCATAAAGAGCAGCATTGCGCTAGCAAGTCCCACCTTTCGCCCTAAGGCGGTTTTCTCCTTTCTCACTAAACAGAACGTGGATTTTACACCGAGATGTTCCATTGCCCAGGGACGGGCAGGAGACAGATGCTTTTCTCTATCTCAACTGCCAAGAGGCCTTCTTTCCTCTTATACTAGTGCTCCTCAGCACAGACCCTTCACGGGTGTCAGGCTAGGGGACGATCAGGTCTTTCCCTTCCCATGAGGCCATAGTTCAGACTATCACATGAGGAGAAACCTTGGACAATACCTAGCTTTCCTAGGCAGAGGTCCCTTTGGCAGTGTACGTGTCCCTGGGTACTTGAGATTAAGAGGATGGTGATGACTTTTAACCAGCAAGCTGCCTTCAGGCACCTTTTTAACAAACCACACCCTGCACAGCCCAAAATTCTTTAAACCTTGAGTCACCACAGCACATGTCTCTTGCAAGGACAAGGTTGGGGGTAGGGTCACAGATTAACAGCATCTCAAATACAGAACAAGATGGAGTCTCTTATGTCTACTTCTTTCTATATAGACACAGTAACGGTCTGATATCTTTCTTTTCCCCACATACTCCTGCTTTTTCAAATGAGTAGAATAATTTCTGGATTTATTTCCCTTCTTTTTTTGGAAACCCAAAGTGGCTCACAAAGACCCACTGTTTCCTACCACTTACTGGGTGTGAGATCTTGGGCAAGTTACTCTATGTGCTTAACTTTCCTCATCTGTAAGACAGCTTGTGAGGATGGAATGAGTTATTTTATTTTATTTTATTGAGACAGAGTCTCGCTCTGTCGCCAGGCTGGAGTGCAGTGGCATCATCTTGGCTCACTGGAACCTCCACCTCCGGGGTTCAAGCGATTCTCCTGCCTCAGTCTCCGGAGTAGCTGGGACTACAGGTGCACGCTACCACACCCAGCTAATTTTTGTATTTTTAGTAGAGATGGGGTTTCACCATGTCGGCCAGGATGCTCTCGATCTCTTGACCTCATGATCCGTCCGCCTCGGCCTCCCAAAGTGCTGGGATTACAGGCGTGAGCCACCATGCCTGGCTGGAATGAATTATTAAAATTAATAGTGTCTTCATCCAAACGCAGGCTACTAAGTTTAATGGAGGGAAAGGCAGTAATTTGAAGCAATAATAGCTTTCAAGTGCCAGTCTCCTAAATCAATGGAATAGCATTTAAGTGTTAATCAGCCAGCAGTCTAATCCTTAATCAATCCTGTCCCCTAATCCTCAACTTTGCTTTTGTCAACATGAATTTTTATGACATAGGGGAAAAAGTATTCCATCTATGTTTTCAACACATTTCATTGAGCAGTTACTATTACCTGGGCACTGGATGTAAAGCAGCACACTTATGAAACCACCCTTGCAAAAATCCTTAGGCAATTATGTCAGTGAAAGAGATGAGAACTTACCTATCCCATCTTCCTTCTAACCTCTAAACTGTTCATTCCTGGGTGTAGGCTGAACTAGTCTTGGAGAGGAATTTATAATTTAAACTCTGAAACGAAATGGATAATAGCCCTTTCCTGAAAAACCCCTTCTTGCCTGGGGAGCAGTCTGCCTTTGTAGGACTAACAAATCAGCTACGAGTTTAGATATCACAGTTTAGGGGCCACGCAGCCTCTGGCTGCAAGAGTCTGAACCTCCCCAAATTGCTCATGGTAATAATATCACTATTGTAAAACCTAAGGTCAGTAGCTTGAGATATTCTGCAGATCCTGCATTCCGATGCAGCAAATGACACCACCCAGAGGTCAGCAAGAACTCACTTCGACCCCCTATGATTTTATCTTCAGTCTGACCAATCAGCACTCCCCACTTTCCGAGCCCATACCAGCCAAATTATCCTTAAAAACTCTGATCCCCCAGTGCTGGAAACTGATTTGAGTAACAATAAAACACAGATCTGAATGCTGGGAGACTGATTTGAGTAACAATAAAACCCCGGTCTCCCGCACAGCCAGCTCTGCGTGAAATACTCTTTTCGCCATTGCAAATCCCATCTTGATAAATCCGCTCTGTCTAGGCAGTGGGCAAGGTGAACCCATTGGGCGGTTACACTTAACTCTAGTTCCCTATTCTGCTGCGTGACTTTAGGTAGGCTACCCAACATCCCTGGAATTCAATGATTGATTATACGATCTCCGTGCTTCCTTTCCACTCACAGATCTTACAAAATCAGTTTCATGCCTCTTTCATTGACAGTTGTATCCCTCTACCTCCACCTCTGAACAAATTTGCTCGAGTTCTGTTCCGACAATTCTATAGACTCGACTCAATGAAGGCACTCAGAATTTCCACCACCTGTTGTATTTTCCAACAAAGATTGCAACCACAGCGGCGAGAGGGAGTTATGTGTCACAAGCTGTGGTTAGAGACACAATGAGATTTATACAAGAAAAAACTGATTAAGAATCACAAGATACCAAAGGCCAAAGGAAGTCCTATTTGTAACAATAAATGATGAAAAAGGGGAATTGACTTTTGACTTGTCAGCAAAAAGGAAATTAAAAGCAAAGCAAAGGGAGCTGGAAGGGGGAGGGCGGGATTCCAAGATAAAGCATAAATAAAAAGAAGTTCTGTGCTCCACCCCTCCACCAGCGCTGGATACAGCCCTTCTGTTGTCAGCCCTACAAACTTTAGGAAACTTCAGCAAAAGGCCCACCTCCTGGAGTTCCTAGGAACCCCAAAACATGCGTTCTAAGAAAAAGACAAAGTTGTGTGCGATCGGGTTTCCTGGAGGCCGGCGCCTTCTCCCCGACCCAGCCCACTCCAGTTAGGGTCCAAGGCTCAGCCTGGCCGCCCGAGGGATCCGCCCAGCCCAGCCCCAGGGGTCTCAGCGCAGGGATCCGGCGGGGGCTTCCGCAGAGGGCGCGGGAACCTTGGGCGGGCCGCGGGCTCACCGCAGTCCTTGAACTGCACGGGTTCGGCCTGGGCGGCGGTGCTGAGCGCCAGGAGCAGGAATGTAGCAGCCAGGAAACGCATCGTGGATAACGAAGTTCCAAGCTCTGGAAAGAAGCGGCGGCCGCCCGCGGTCACAAGACAAACCTGTGGGGGCGGGCCCGGGGAGGAGCCCAGTCAGGCGACCTGTCACCAGTAACCACGGCCGAGGCCCGCCCGCGCCCCGCCCCCGGCTCCGGGAGCCAACTCCAGCCCTCTCGGGCCCAGAGGCCTGCAGTCTCCGCCCATGCCGTCCCCTCAGAGGCCTGACCCGCCCAGACCCACCTCCGCCCCGCCCCACCTTACTCCTCCTCGCCCCGTTCCTTCCCTTTAGAGCACCTCCCCGGCTTCATGGGTGCGTCCCCGCGGCTGCCGTCGGGAGCATTTCTAGCCAATCAGGCACCTTCTCCTCCCTCACTACCCAATAGGTATGTTGGGGGCGGGGCCTCCGTGAGGGCCCGGCCTCCTGTTCGTTCTCCCCGCCTCCCGAGGCTCCGGGTGAGAAACGGGGGAGACGCGCGGGGCGGAGCTTGTGGAGGAAGATGGCTGCCGCCCGGGGGTTGTCCCTAACGGCCACGACGCAGAGAGCGGTCACTCCCTGGCCGAGGGGCAGGTATCAAGACTAGAAAGGCACCTGGAAAGGGTGTTTGGTTCTGCGCCTCTAGAACAAATGGGAAACCAAGGCCTGTGGGGGAGGTGAGGGTTTGGTGGGAGGCCGTCCAGGTGGGGGTCACCAGGTTTAGCGTGAGGCGCTCCAGGTCAAGGGTTGTCAGGTGCCCCTTCTGCCCCCGGGCTTACCCTCCCTTGCGCGCAGGCTCCTCGCGGCCTCCCTGGGACTCCAGGTGCGTCGGGAAGCGTCGTCCTCCAGCCCCGAGGCCGGCGAAGGGCAGATCCGCCTCACGGACAGCTGCGTCCAGGTAGAAGGCCGGACGCGGGGCGGCGGTACCCAGGCGATTGGCGGGAGCAGCGGGAACTGCTCTTCACTCAGCCCTTTAACTCCCGTTGCCCGCTATTCCTGATCCCCCTTCCTGCATTTCAGAGGCTTCTGGAAATCACCGAGGGGTCAGAGTTCCTCAGGCTGCAGGTGGAGGGAGGTGGATGCTCCGGATTCCAATACAAATTTTCACTGGATACAGTTATCAACCCCGACGACAGGCAAGGAGGAAGGGATGGGTTCCCAAAGGAGGTACAGGAGGGATAAAAGTGTGTATAGTTTAAGGTGCACTTTTATTCCAAATTTAAAGGGTTTACTGGGATGGTTAACACCGCCCGTCTCACAGTGAGGATGCAGTGAAGGTTTGTTGTCCTGAATCAAAATAACTAAGTTATAGGAGCAAAATTGGCCTGCCCAGGTCCATTGGGTAGTCGGTAGAAAGTCAGGCCGGATTAGATTCCAGGCTTAAGTCCCTAAACTTTTCGCAGTATTTATTCCATTGAATCATTTTTGCCTAAAAGAAAATCAGCACGTGTTAAAGGTAATCGGGAAGCTCCCTCTGTACTTTAGAAAATAGACGGTGTGCACCTCTGAGCTCAGGGAGTGTCTTTTTTGTGTTTGTGATACTCGTTAATGCTTTCCTCCTGTCTTTTCAGGGTATTTGAACAGGGTGGGGCAAGAGTGGTGGTTGACTCTGATAGCTTGGCCTTCGTGAAAGGGGCCCAGGTGGACTTCAGCCAGGAACTGATCCGAAGCTCATTTCAAGTGTTGAACAATCCTCAAGCACAGCAAGGCTGCTCCTGTGGGTCTTCCTTCTCTATCAAACTTTGATGCGATGACTGGTGACTCTGAGATTGTCACCAGTTGTACCAATTTGAAGAACCTGGAATTAGTAGAATTCTAGAGGTTTCCTTCTAATCATGTCCCTCTCAATTTTATTTCCCACAGTCCAGGAGTGTTGTGTTTTGCCACTATTATTTTCAGAACGTGAAGATTTTGGCTTAATTTTTCCCTCCAACTCCCCTCAGTGCTAAGGCTGAGCCTCCAGATGCTGTTACCTCAGATTTAATCACTGGTTGAAACTCCGTATAATCTGTAGAGCTTCCATGGCTCTAAAATTTGGAATTAAATTATCTGGCCTTAAGAGCTGCTTGTATATATGTGGATAGCTATGTATAAAAGCTTCATTTTAAAGAAAGTTCTTATTGTGTTGTGGATCAGGATCACAGGTCGGGTAGCTTGGACACCGTTATTAGAGGATAAGAAAAGTAAATGAAATGTTCTCTTTTTCATTTCACCCTGCCAGTATGTGCCACTTTTCTTTATTGTCTATGCAGCCCATTCGCCACTTCCTATTTGATGGGACAGATACATTTTACTCTCATACTTGTGGATCTGCTAGGAGTCATAAAACCAAGAGCCCATTGCCCAGAAAACTTGGACCAAACCCTCACTGATACTGAATTGTTTCAAAAATAGCCTCCCTACTCATGGAGACATTTTAAGATTCTGTGACAATTTAATGACTGAATCTTTTTAGGATATGTTGCTTCACCTGCCTTCTGTTGTAAAATGGCTCTGGTCTCATGCACAGCAGGAAGTGATCTCTTTATCGTTATAGGTAATAGATTCTTAGGAACCTTTTTTTAGATTGGATTGCCAGATGAAATGTAGGATGCCCAGTTAAATTTGAATTTCAGGTAATTAATTTTTTAGTATGCCTATGTCTCAAATATTGCATATACTAAAAAATTACTATTTGAAATTCAAAATTAGGCATCCTATATTTTTATTTGCTGATCTTGGCAACTCTAGGGTCACCAAACAGCTTTTAAAATCACAAATTCTAGTGAATTAAAGTACTTGTGTAGGTGTGGCACTTAAATAGGATTTGGAGCTTGAAATAATCCTATTCCAGTGCTGCGGAGCTGTGTGGACAGACAGTGAAAGAAAAACAACCCATCACCATCACCGCACCGAATGATTTATTAATACTGATGTTGGAGAAACTACAACCAAGTTGATTCTGGAAGAGCTACTGGTTAAATCCATCTTTTGCTTGGGAGCCTAGAAGTTTGTTACAGCAAAGACTTGCATTTCTGCACTGGATTGGAATTAAGGTCATTTAGTAAGAATTTCCTGTTTAAAAAAATGGAAATAGAGTTTAAAAAAGATCTGAGACAGAAACTTAGATACATTTCCAGCATGGCAAAACCTAGGAGTTAGAGAAAACAAACCTATCATGCAGTTAGAGGAGAGACGGGGACACTTAGAAGCCTGAGTACATTTCTTAGAGCCGATGGAAGGAGGCAGAAAGCAGCATACCATGGGAGCATCTGTGTGCACACATGACCAAGACAGTGCTGCCAGTACCTGCGTCTGATAGGGTTTCAGTTCGGACTACCTGTCCTTTCATCCTCCTTAAAAAGATTTTGCTACATTTTAAACATTAGAATCTATTCTTTAAGAATATTTTTGTGGGTTATTTATTGATTTGGTGGTTTTTAAAATTCTTGAGCACAAGCAGAATAGCTTTTGTTGCTAAATCAATCGATTAAATTACAGTGGTCCACTAGGCAGAAACAGAGTCCCTTAGAATGCAGAAGCTTATATGTGAGCATCTACTGTTAATGGGAGAATTGGAATTTTATGTTTAGAAAAAGGCAGATTTGGGGCTGGGCATGGTGGCTCACGCCTGTAATCCCAGCACTTTGGGAGGCCAAGGCAGGCGGATCATCTGAGGTCAGGAGTTTGAGACCAGCCTGGGCAACATGGTGAAACCCCATCTCTACTAAAGATACAAAATTTAACTGGGTGGCGGACACCTGTAATCCCAGCTACTCGGGAGACTGAGGCAGGAGAATCACTTGAACCCGGGAGGCAGAGGTTGCAGTGAGCCAAGATTGCACCACTGGACTCCAGCCTAGATGGCAGAGTAAGACTCCATCTCAAACAAACAAAAAAGGCGGATTTGGGAAAAATCATGTTACTTCACACTGAGAAAGCTCATGGGGAAACCAGAAGTGGCAGCAATAAGTCTCCATTGGGGGGTGGTGACTTAAGAACACAGAGCATGGGGGAATGATAGCATCGGGGCCACTGGGCAGTTTGTTGAGAATAAACAGTATACATGGTAAAATGGGTTTAGGATCTGCTGCAGGCCCTTTCTGACCAGATGTGTCTTCTTGGTGGCCAGTAAAAGTCATTTTCACAAATTTTGCTCACTGCACATTCATTTAGGAAAACTTTGTACTCTTCCAGGTTCAGTTGGAAGATCTTATGCCTTCCCATTCTTTGGAGGGGAGTTGTCAAGGCCTATTTGTTGCAGAATTGGCATTAACTTTTTATGCAAGCCAGTGCTGGGGCATCAGGTAAGAACCAAAGTCAAGGGAGCTCTAAATCTGCTTTATATTGTGAATGAACTTAATGTTGTTTTTCAAAGAGAAGGTCTCTTGGTCAATGCCCAGATCTTATTGTGGTACCATACTTCAGTTATGTGATGACAGTGACCAACGGTATGTAAATTATGTGTCCCATCCACTCTTAGTTTTGTTTCTTTTCTTTCTTTTTTTTTTTGAGGTAGGGTCTCAATCTGTCTCCTAGGCTGGAGTGCAGAGGTGCAGCCTCTACCTCCCAGGCTCAAACAATCCTCCCACCTCAGCCCCTGCAAGTAGCTAGGACTACAGGCCACACCACCAAGCCCAGCTACTTTTTGAATTTTTTGTAGAGATGGGGTTTCACCATGTTGCACAGGAGTCTCGAACTCCTGGGGTCAAGCAATCCTCCTGCCTCAGCCTCCCAAAGTGCCAGTATTGCAGGTGCAAGCCACCCTGCCTGGCCCACCCATAGTTTCTTGGTATGAGAATGTTGACTGATTATAAGGAGTAGGAGAAAAGAAGTTGGGAAGTAAAAGATTAGGAAGGACTACTAAAATAGGTGTTCAGGAAGACTCTTCTTTCTATAACTTCTGAGAATCGAGCTCTGTTCTTTTGTCGTTTGTTATAAAGCATTAGAGTGCAGGGGTGGCAGTTGGCAGGATCAACCTGGTATAGGGAAGTGGGCAGCGCTGATCATGATGGTACAGAAGCTAATGTTGTGCAGCCGGCTTTGGGCAGGGCCTAACACTGTTCACTGCATGTTTGTCTGAAAGGAAGGAATCTCTTCTATTTTTCTTCATATCTAGCACTGATGTTTATGATTGCTCTTTTAAAATCCATATCTGCCATTCTTCATAAAAATGCCACAGGGCTGCCTAACAGAAATTTGTGTTATGGAATTTTGACATAATTAGCACCTGGCTTTAGTTGTAAATTATAGTCAGATAAATATATAAAGAGAGGGAGCATTTAAGCAATCTGTGGCCAGCAACTGTATTTAAAAATATTTTATTTTTTTTGAATAGGTGATACATATGGTACAAAATTCAAAAGAATACAAAAGGAGATACAGTGAAAAGTCTCCCAATCCTGTACCTATCCACCCTGTCATCCTTCCCACAAACCACCATTGTTTCTAAGAATTTATCCTGCAGATATAATCCCATAAATTAATGTGAAATATGCACAAGAATATTCATTACAGCATTATTTATAGCAAAAGAAAACAATGGAAATGTCTGTCAGTAAGGGACTGATTAAATAAATTAATGGTTTATCCATTCAATGGAATAGTATACAGCTATAAAATGAAATGAGGCAGCTCTACTTGCAAGTATAAAGCCAAAAAAAAAAAAAGCAAAGTGCAGAACAGCATGCATAGTATGCTATTTGTGTTTTAAACAAAGGAAATACGTACATATGCATGCAATATCTCAAGGTTGGGCAGGAAGGCGAAGATTGGAGTGTTGTGGGGGCAGTGGGAACAGCAGTTATGAAGGTGTAGTGCCAGCAGGATATATTTGGGGGATGGTAAGAAGTTCTCTGAATGGTGAGGTATAAGGCGAAGTGGCAAGGATGAGGTGAACAGACAACCGCTTCTTTTTCCCCATTCTTTAGACAGACAGTGTTATGTTACACGCTGTTATGCAACCCCCTTTTTCCCTTAATTTGTTTTGGATATCTTTCTTAAGGAATTTACAGCCACCTTTTTTAAGGGTTCCATAGCAATTAATTGTTTCTAATCTTTTGCTATTACAAATGATGCAGTGATAACTTCTTATATGTCATTTTATATCTGGTGAAAATATATCTGAAGGTTAAGTTCCTAGAAGTGGAAATTACTGGATCAAAGAATTAGTGCTTTTATAATTTTGAAGGGCATTGCCATATTGCCCTCTTCAATATGTACTTCTGGCAGCTATTATGAGAGTGCCTATTTCCCACATGCTTGCCAGCTAGGAGTCTTAACAAGCTTTTTGATATTTGCCAATCTGACAGTTTTAAAAAGGATCTCAGTATGATTTTAAGTTGCATTTCTTTTATTATGAGTGAAAGAATATTTTTACATGTGTAAGAGTGATTTAGTTTTGTCTGCTGAAAACATCTCAATTAGTATAGGGGCATAGAGCAAATTATTTAAGCTTTCTGTGTCTCAGTTTCCTCACCTGTAAATTGAGAATAAACAATAGTAAGTAGGATTATTGGATAATTAAATGAAATGTATGTATAGCACTCAGCACAGTGCCTGGCACATGGCAAGCATTCAATAAGTTATGTGATGGCTAATAATCAGAGGAGCAGGTAGGCTAGGGCAGATTAAATTAAGAAAGTAGCATTCACTTCCATGCTCCAGTCACATGGAGCCTTGTTCATTTACATTGCCATTCATCGGAGAAGTGCAAAGTCAGAGCTTTCCTTGTCTTTTAGTAGTAAAGAGTAATTTCCCATTGGAATCTATCATAGGCTATCAGCAGAGCTGGCCAGGGAGTAGGCACAGCTTTGTCTCTAATATTTAGACTTAGCCAACATGGTAAAGAAATTTGATTTGATATGAAATAAAAACAAGAACAGAAGAGACCAGATGTACATTTCTTTATTCCACCATGGTTCTGAACTCCCAGCTAGTTTGGGTTGGTGTGAGTCTCTGCTTGTAAACTCAGAGGAATGCCTGCCATCATTTTCTGAAGGGAAGGGGCAGGGGCTTCTGAGTAGAGGGGAAAAACAATATTGGAAATCTGGCTTCTTCTGAACAAGACCACACTAGAAAATAGACTTTTTACTTTTAGCACATCAAACTGGTTTTCACAAAAGGAGAGCCCAGAAGAGGTTTGTTTCCTGTAAGAAGCAGTGTTTATGTAACAGAGGTCTTTGTAGATGGGTCCTCTGTCCCGTGGCAGCCCTTGCTGCTGGTGCACAAGGGCTATCACTGGGCGGATTTTGAATGTTTACAGCTACTGAATATTTTCTTTAGACATATAAAGCCTTGGCTCCCCTTTCTTATCAACTCCACATATTTTTCATAATGTCCTCTTGCTGCTTTCCCCAGGTCTTTGTTCTTCATTTGTGTCTCTTACACTCAACAAGCTAATATCAGTCTTGCTTCTCTGAGTGAAGGGATCTTCTGCCACTCCTTGGGGTCAGAGAATGGGCTACAGGTTGGAGGTGTGGCAAAATCAGGGCCCAGAACAGATTGGCTGAGTGGTGGTGATGGTTCTTGGGAGGCGCTGGAGTCAGTCCCCAAGCTTCCCCAAATCCTTTCTTGCTCCACAGATTTTGAAGGACCTCCCTAGGGCAGATGTAGCCTCTGTCCCAGTTGTGGGATCATCAGGATGATGGTGGATTGTGGCTGGAAAGGGGTGTCTGCAGTGTGAGGCCACAGGGCCTTGCATGCTTGCACAGCTTGGGAGGGTGGATGAGGGCCATCCTTTGTTAAGCATCCAATAGCAAGGCCAGGAAAGGTGGTGGACAAGGCCTCATGTGGTGGCTGAAGCATTAAAGTGATTGGTGGTGCTTGAGCCAAGCAAGGGCATGGAGGCAGTGACCGAAGCTTACAGCCAGAGGCTAAGCTGGGAGAGATGAAAGCAGGCAAGGCTGATTGGGAACGTCTGGCCTGATGTCGCAGTGTCTTCCCAGCTAGGAAATCATCCTCAAGGCCCCTGCCTGTGACTGGAGGCCATTTCCAAGTAGTTGCCACACTGACCACTGACTGCTACTCCTTGGCAGTGCAGTGGGGGGGGCCTGCCTCGGCCACATATCCCGGGGAGCAGTGGCAGCGGTAGGAGCCCTCTGTGTTCTCGCAGTAACCGTGGACACAGAGCACAGCAGGCCCGTTCAAGTCATCACACTCATTCACATCTAAGAGGAAACAAAGGAGAGAGCTGTAGGGAGCCCAAGTGCCTCTGCTGGCTGCCTCTACCCCTCTGGTTACTAAGCCCTGGCCCCTGTCCTGGAGTGAAACCCTAAGTGTGACAGCCAGAGGCTGAAGTCACTTCCCAAAACCAAGCAACTCAAGGACAAGGCAGGGGGCAGCAAGCTCATACCATGCCCAAGACCGTGCTCTCTTGTCTTTGCCTTTTGTCTGGGAACCTGCACGGAAGCGGCTTTCTTAAAGCACACAATTAGACCTTCCTTTGGCGCTTTCTTCCCTCCCAGCCTGATGCAGAAAGCCCCACTAGGAGGCAGCAGTGGCTCTTGCAGCCTTCCTGAGTTCAGGCGTCTCTGTGGGCAGTGGGCCAGCCTGACTCCTCCATCAGAATTCTACTCACCTACGCAGGCCATGTGGGCCGCATCCAGCTGGAAGCCCTCAAAACAGTCGCAGGTGTAGCCCTCCCGCACGCGCACACAGCGGCCATTCTCACAGCCGTTCAGGATGCCGCACTCCTCTGCCTGAAGCCCTTCGAAGCCGGCTGGGGCCTCTGGGAGGAGGGAATCAGAGAGAGAAGGAGGCTGAGGCCTGTGTCCAGACTCCCCCTAATGCTGGGACCCTCGCCCTCCTGGACAAAGGATGCCCCTGTGGAACTTTGGGGGTGGGGGCAGAAAGGATAATAAAATCTCATGGAAAGATGCTAGAACAAAAGGCAGTACTCTTGGGAAAAAAAAAGTGTGTGTCATTTTAGATGGGGAGAGGTGCTCTGGGCTTTAAATGAGGGCTCCAGGGAGGCTGAGACTTGCTGCTTCCACAATGCCTGGCTCCTGCTGGGATTCGGTGGGTGGGGGAGTGTGTTGTTACATAGTTTTTGGGTTTGGACGTGGGGATGGGGTGAGGTGTTTTGTTTAAATCTTCACACTGTGTTTTGGGGAGTGGGGAACAATTGGTAGCAGAGGGGTCTCGCTCAACACAAAGCAAAAAGTCGACCAGATCTCCCTAACCCTCTTCACTCTCTTTTTTTTTTTTTTTTTTTTTTTTTTTTTTTTTGAGACGGAGTCTGGCTCTGTAGCCCAGGCTAGAGTGCAGTGGCCGGATCTCAGCTCACTGCAAGCTCCACCTCCTGGGTTCACGCCATTCTCCGGCCTCAGCCTCCCGAGTAGCTGGGACTACAGGCACCCGCCACCTCGCCCGGCTAGTTTTTTTTTTTTTGTATTTCTTAGTAGAGACGGGGTTTCACCGTGTTAGCCAGGATGGTCTCGATCTCCTGACCTCGTGATCCACCCGTCTCGGCCTCCCAAAGTGCTGGGATTACAGGCTTGAGCCACCGCGCCCGGCCACCCTCTTCACTCTCTAAGCACCCCTTCACCCCATGGAAAACGCCCCACCCTGCCCAGCGGTGTGGTCTTAGTTTGATGTGATAGCTTTGCCTGTGGTGGATACTGTGTGCATTGCACAGTGCTAGGCCTGAGTGTTTGGATCGCACCATTCACAAACCGAGTCATCACAGTAGGCCTTTAAAGTCCTTAGAAAACCTTAATCCACATTTCAGGTCACAAGTGTGAATGCTGGGTGTCCTTAGAGCAGGTTCTTCTGCAGCCTGTAGGTGGCGTGGAGGGAGAAAAAGACTGCAGCGAACAGCTTTCTCGCTGTCAGTCCCCACAGGAAGCTTGTAGGTTGGTTGGGATAGGGGCAGCGTCCTGTACCTTTTTGTGTCCCTGTGATAGTTTATGACAGAGTTGTTAGGGTCGGACCTGGGCGTATGTACTTGTCTTGAGCGAGCTGTGAACGGGGACCTCTGGCTTGGTATGTCTTTCCCCTTCCCAGTCCTCACCCTGCTGGCAATATGACTAGCAGGTAGAGGAGATGGAAGTGAAACAGCTTTGGCGCCCACCTCTTCCCCATTTTTGCAGCAACACAGACCTGGATGGCTGGCCACGTAGTGGGGCTGGAGTTCTGAGGGCTGCAAAGGAGACTCAAGGATGGGTGTGTGGTCCCCTGGGTGGCCGGCTGTGTTGGGGAAGGCAGGCTCAGGCACGGTGTCTTCAGGGCCCAGGTAGTTGTAGAAGGGGGCCCCGTCTGGGCCATAGATGCTGTAGTGCAGGTCATCAGGCCCGGGGCCATACTCATAGCCTGGCCGAAAGTGGACCCCGGCCTCCCGCTCTGCCTCAATGCGAGCCACGTTGCACAGCTGAGCATAGACCTCTGTCAGGGAGGAGGGAGAGATGGAGCCGGGTTCCAGCTCCTGCCAGCTAAAGCCTGGTTGGCTTTGTCTCTGGGAGCATGCAAGGACTGGTACCCTCTGGGAGATCCTGGCAGCAATCCTCTCCCCACCTCTCCACTGCCCTACTTTGTCCCTAAACAGCAGGGATGGAAGACAGGGCCTCATTGCTCTGCTACTTCTTTCTAGATCCCCCTTCCAAGGTGAGGGTATCCCCCTCCCTGGGGCCTGGCCCAGCCCTGCAGGGTCTCCCCTTTGCTCCCCCTCACCAGAGCTCCTGGGGGGACACAGAGCACACTGCTGGCTCCAGGCCTCGCCGTCCTGGCAGCAGCATTCCGTGTAGGTGGTGCGGTGCCCACGCAGGGGTTCACTGCATACATCATTGGTGACTTTTTTCCAGCAGACGTCCATGTGGATGTCGTGATCAGGGAGGTCCTCTGGTGGCACAGGGCACGGAGGCACATGAGCCCCCCAGCCCAGGTCCCCTTCTCCTGCTGCCCCACGCTCAGGCCCACTCACCCGTGCTGCTGGTGCTGTTCATGCAGCGCTGCTGGCTGAGGTCCAGGGTGAGTGGGGGGCTGCAGAAGCAGTGGAAGGAGCCCTCCGTGTTGACGCACTCGCCATTCTCACAGGCCAGGTCCTGGCACTCATCATGATCTATTGGGAGGCAGGAAAGGGTGGGGCGATGCCAAAGTCACCTGTCCACCGGCCACCCTCAGGCAAGAGGGTTTTCCTATCACTGATAATGAAGAGTTAGTGCCCTGCCTTCCTCCCCTCAACCCAGCCCAGCCTGGAAGGCCCCTCCCTGGGGACAATCTCTGACAGCCCAGAGCTCCTTCACCTGGGACCAGCCTGCTGCAGTGGGTGGCCTCCCTAGGAAGGGAGACTCTCAGCAATAATGGGACTGGCTGGCAGGGGCTGGGTGGGCCATTATTCAGTTGTGGGCCTGGGGTGGGGCAGGGATCATGTGTGTCCTCACCCTCACACTTCCTGTGGGAAGCATCGTAGTGGAAGCCGGGATTGCACAGGCAGACATAGCCAGGCACGGTGTTGAGGCACCGGCCGTTCGGGCAGAGGCCAGGCCCGAATATCACACACTCATCCGCATCTGTGGAAGGGCAGAGCTGAGGTGAGAGGAAGGTGAGAGGCAGTATGAGGGGTACCTAGAGCAGGGAATCCAAAGCCAGGCTGGGTTTGAATCCCAGCTCTGCCACTTACTAGCTGGGTGGCTTTGGGCAAGTTGCTTAAGTTTGCCATGCCTCTGGTTCCTACATGCTCCTTAACCTCTTAGAGTTGTAATAAGGATGAAAAGGTGTTAATATGTGTGAGGTGCTCAAAAAAGTGCGCAGCGCGTAGCCAGCACCCAAGGAGAGCGATCTCTGTCTCCATCATTTCCTTCTCAGGACTAGCTTCAGGACTAGGATGCTGAGGGGCGCAGTACCTGGACCATCCTACTGTGAGTGTGGGTTCCCCAGAGTGTCCGGCCTCATCAGTGCGGCCAGGGAGATGAGCGCAGCCTCTGGCCTCCAGGGCAGTGCTCTCCACTCTGTCCCTGTGCCCACATGTGGCTGGGGGTGACAGTTACTCAAGGCATCATAGTTTGTTTCTGGAGGTGCAGCCTTGGGAGAGTAGGGAAACTGAGGTGAGGCTCATGTGGACACTCCAAGAGCAGCTTGGGTCAGAACTTCCAGCTAACATTCTGCAGGGAGTCAGCCCTGGGACAGAAAAGGTGGAGGCAACCTGGGAGGCCAGGGTTGGATGCAGAACTTCCCCAGGAACCCTGTGGAGGAGCAGGCTAGGGCCCATTCAGGTGAATGGAGTTTGGGGCAGAGGATGGAGCAGGAGGTTACCTGTGTACATGGTCTGTCCAAACGTCCAGGCTCCTTCCACAGGAATGTAGCCTTTTCCACTCGGGCAGATCTCGCTGAATTCAGCTATGTAGAGAGGTGCTTCAGCTCAGAGCGGGGAGGGCCTTGCCCCCTTCCTCTCTGCCCTTCTTTCCGTGTCACCTTGCAGAGCTGACCCTTCGAGGATCTGGAACCCTTGGGGCCTTACCTGAGTCCTCAGACGGGCAGAGGTCACAGGCTTCTCCCCAGCTAGCACCCTGGGTGCAGCAGCATTCAGCCTGCGTGGTGTTCTGGCCCAGGACGCTGGAGCAGGGCGCATGGCCATTCTGCCCAGAGTAGCAGTCCATGCGGGTGGGGGCCGGGGCATGGTCCCCCGTTGGGGCCTCAGGGATACTCTGACCTGTGCGTGACAGATGCTCATTACTGTCTGTTCATGACCCTCTGAGGGGTCAATAGTCCTTCGCTTTATTTCTTAAATTTAACATTTGTGTAGCACTTTACGGTGGAAAAAAATGCTGTTACCTGTATTACCTCACCGATGCTCTTGACAACCCTAAGAAGTGGCCTAATTATCATCTCAAGAAATTGAGGCTTAGAGAGGCTTGGGGCCTCACCACCACTGTGTGATTAAACTATTAAGCAGTGCGGCAGGGATCTGACCCCAGTTCCTCCTCACCGAAGCCCCTGCTCTTTGCGGTACACCACCCCGCCTGTCTCCTGTGATGGGCTGCCCCCAGTCCCTGGCATGCCATATGGGCAGCCCTGTGGTCCATTCTGCTTCACAGGTACCCCAGCCCCCTCACCCTTCCTTGTCTCCCTCACTTTCCCCCAAGGCAGTAAAAGCCGGCTGAGTCCTAGTCCAGCCTGGCGTGAGAGGCTGAACCCAGTAGCTCTCGGGTGGGGTGGGAAGTGGGAAAGGGAGAGCCCAGTTTAGCTCAGCTTCAAGTCCTCTCTCATCCAGAAGGTTCCCAGGGATTAGATGGATTCAGGGTCCCTCCAAGGCTCAATCTGTGGTCCCTGGGGTCATCCTCAGGGTTTCCTAAGCCTCCTCTAGGGTCGTCCTGGTTTCACTGCACGTGGCCCTCAGCCTCCTCACCCCTCCATGCACCAGGCCCCACCTGTACCTCCCTATGCTGCCCCAGGCCCTGGCCCAGTGTCCCTCTCAGTGGCTAGAGGCTAGAAGAGGGATGCAGAGGGACACGCTCTCTCTAAACCTCCGAGTCGCCATGGATAATGCATCTCCCAGGCCTCACCTCCAGCCCCCCGTGGGCGGCAGTGCCCCTCCTGGGCATCGTACTCCTCCAGGTCACTGGCGCAGAGGCACAGGAAGGAGCCCTCCACATTCTCACAGAGTGCGGCCCCACACACCGCCAGCATAAGCTCACACTCGTTCACGTCTGCCAGGTGTGAGAACAGGCTCATGGGCAGAAAAGAGGCAGCCCGTGCCCCTTGCCCCCGACTCCGGCCCACTGCCCCCAAAAGAAGTAGGCTAGGCCTTGGGGAAGAAGCAAGAGTGAGTATAGATTTGCGGGGAGGAGGAACCGATGGACAGAGGGCATGGGAAGGAAGACAGAAGGAGAGGAGTGGCAGCAAACGGTCACAGAAGTGCGCAAAGAGGAAGGGTTACCCCTCAGTGCACATTCTCCAAACCTCCTGCCTCCTGAGGCCCTGAGGCTTGAGGACACCTGCTGTCCTGCTGGCAGAGTGCGGCTGTGCTTCCCCTTACCCGCCCGGCCCACATGCCCCTGGGCGGGGAGTTGAAGTCTCTCTCTTCTTTGAAGCCTCCCTTGCCCATGCTCTGAGGACCCATGATGGAGCCACGTGACCAGGACCAGTTCAGGAGGAGGACCCCAGGGCCTTCCCTTCCCTGGCCCAGACCGTGGGTAGCCCACAGGCTCCTCACCTACACAGTCCCAGCCTGAGGGAGAGATCTCGAAGCCCTGGTCACAGAGGCAGCGGAAGGAGCCGTCAGTGTTGTCACAGAAACCGTGGCTGCCACACATGGTGTCATTGGTGCACTCGTCTATGTCTGCGGGACAGTGGGAACCACAGTAGAGGGTGTGTGCGTGTGCGTGTGCACTCTCTCACACACACGCACACTCTCGTTCTCTGCTGAAAATACTTATTCGGCTTATTGGCACCAAGACCTGTGAAAAGCAGCCTCTCAACCCTGTTAGGGATAAGAAAACCCTAACATTCACAGTCCTGTGGCATTTTTCGTAAGCTCTACTGGATGGAAAATATACAAACTACAATCAGCTGCAAAAAAAATCGTGTCCTCAGGAGAAAATCATGTCTCGCTCAATATATGAAAAATAGGTTTTCTCAGCCCTCTCTCTTCTCTCTCCTCCCTCCCTACTCACCAATGCAGTCTCCGTTCGGGGCCATGTGGAAGCCAGGCTGGCAGCCCAGAACACAGCGGTAGGAGCCAGGGCTGTTTTCACACTTCCAGGCGCCACACACCGGGTCTCCGTAGTCCTCACACTCGTCGATATCTGTCCCCAGAGCCATGCCATGAGAGAGGACAGAGATGGCCAGGTCATTGCTCTGGTCCCACAGGGTCAAGCCCCACAACCTCCAGGGTTCTTGATCTGTTCCAAATGACTGTGCTCATCCCAACCCCAGCACATCAAAGTCAGGACAATTTCCCCTGCCCCTGCAGGGCTGAGCATCTGGGAAGAGAACCGTACGCTATTTAGGAAGCAGTGAGCTCCTAGCCTTCTGTGACACTCCCTTTCCTCCGCCGCCCCATCTGTCTCCTATCCCTACCAGCACAGCACTGTACTTCTCTTTACACGAAGCCTTCAGCATAGTGTATTACAGAGAGCTGTCTTCATATCTGTCTCCCTTGCTCAATTTCAAGATCGTCCTTAACTGTCTATTTGTCCTAGCAAAAGACATTGAGCATAGCAGGTGTTTAATGTCTATTGAATCAATTTGGCCTTTAAAACTAGATTGTGTGCCGGCACGAAGATGCTGGTTGTCTTCATTTTGTCATCCTTGGACAGCCCCTGGGCCCTGAGTCTCAATACATGCACTATTTGTTGGACACTGCATCTGTGGAAAGTGCTCTGCTCCACGGGAGCTGAGGACCAGGCAGGGTAGAGCCGGGCAGACATGGGCAGAGCCCTGTCCCCTCCCCCCAGAGCCCTTACCCACACACTCTCCACTCTCTGGGGAGGGCTGGAAGCCAGTCTCACACAGACAGTTGAAGGAGCCCTCGGTGTTGACACAGTGCCCTCCTAGACACAGGTCTGTGGCGGCACACTCGTCCACATCTACAGTAGAGATGGCTGTCAGCAGACCCAGCCATGGGTCCCTTCCCTGTTAGGGTCCTGTGTACCTTCCTCTGGGCCCTGAGGAGCCCATAGGAGAGGCAGGGAGTGGCTTATGTAGGAAAGGGCTGGAAGCCAGAGGCCAGGCTGTGGGAGGTGGGCGCCGGGGTGGGGGTGGGGGGCGAGGGGGGGCTCCTGGAACTGAAGCTCTGTAAAGGGGAGAAGTGACACTCGGAGTTTGGAGTTGCCTGCTGTCAACGTTGTGAGGAGGCCCTGGTGAGAGACTGAGTCCCTCCCTCGCTGAGCACCGGACTTCCTCACATCACTCCTCGCTCCCATCTTCTCCTCCCTGGGCAGGGCCGTGAGCACTTGCTTTCCGTAATGGTATTAAAAGGGACACTACTCTAGTCTTAGCCTCTAGCGCCCATGCTCCTGGCCGGTAGAGGTAGCTGTGCTGGCTTCTCACCCAGGCAGCTGGTGCCCCCCTCTGCGCTGACGAAGCCGGGTGCGCACAGACAGAAGAAAGACCCGTGGCTGTTGAGGCACTCGCCGTGGGGTGCGCAGTGCTCCTCCCCCATGCATTCGTTCACATCTGCAGGGAAAAGATGGGGAGTGGGTGTCTGCTGGGGATGTGCCTGCCTCCCTACACACTCATGCCCCCCAACCCCAGTAGGGTGACCTGGGTCACTCACCCTCACACAGGGTGCCATTGGCCAGCTGGAAGCCCTGGGGACAGAGGCACTGGTAGGAGCCTGCGGTGTTCTTGCATTCCCCTCCCAGGCAGCTGCTCTGGGGGTCTTCACACTCATCCACATCTGCAGGGCCACACAGGGGAGGAAGACAGCCGATGGCAGCACCTCCCAAGGACAGGAGCCAAGGGGGAGGTTTCCAGAGGACCTGTCACCTGCCTGCAGAGCTGGACCCACAGGGGCACCATCCCCTCGTGAGGCAGCACAGCTGGGAGAAGCTCATGAGCGACTCTTGGGGAGCAGGATGATGGCAGCTCCTCCAGCCCCAGCAGCCCCCCACCTGCTGGGCCTCAGCATGGCCCTGACAGAGGGGCATCCCATTTGTGTCCTCTCCCACATGGAGGCTCATACCTTCACAGGAGTCACCCAGGGGGCTGGGCCGGTAGCCCCCATCACAGTCCTTGCAGGAGAAGGAGCCAGCCGTGTTGGTGCAGACTCCCGAGGGGCAGACTTCCGGGAAGGCACACTCATCTAGGTCTGCAGACAGACAGTGCTCACCCAGGGACCTAGGAGGGCTCCCACTCCCCGGGCAATGCAGGAACCTCACCGTGGCCTCCCTTTCTGAGCCCCTGGGGGGTTTCCTAAAACCCCCTCCCTAGAACACTCCCGGGACAGCCCTGCCCTCAGCTTCTCTCTTGTCTCTGTGACTGGATTTTCCTCTTGTCCTCACTCTGAACTTGGGGATTATGATAATATAAGCTCTTGTTGGGGCCAAGTCCATGTATGGGGTCCTCTAGCCTAGCCTGGAGCCCCTCGACATCAGCCCCAAACTGGGGGCAAATGAAGTGTTCTTCGGGAGGTAAGACTGCCTATATTCTGTCCCCTTCCACCACTGCCTCCCCAGGGTTACCTTCACAGGCAGTGCCGTCTTCATTCACCCAGTACCCACTCTCGCAGGCAGAGCAGGTGAAGGAGCCCTCTGTGTTGAGGCAGAGGCCTGTGGGGCATGAGGCCCGGTTGGCACACTCGTCCACATCTGAAACAGGGCATTGCATTCTGTGTGGGACTCTGCAGGACAGACAGGCCAGGACAGCCAGAGACTGGTGGGTAGGCAGGGGTGGGGGAAGGACAGGTCTGGGCAGGGATGTGTTAGGTCAGTGTGGATAGGGATGCAAGGCCAGAGGTGGATTCAGGGCGCTAAGCGTGGTGTGCAGAGGGGAGGGAGCCACAAGCTGGATTGGCCTGTGGAGAAGGGGTACTTCAGCATCTCTGTACCTTGGCAGCCCTTCTCATCTGAGGTGACCTCATAGCCCTGCTCACAAGAGCATCTGAAGGAGCCTTCTAGGTTGGTGCACTTTCCGTGGGCACAGACCCCGGGGGTCAGACACTCATTCACATCTGTGGGAGAGAGGTCCTAGATGGTGGGCTGGCCTCCTCCCCGTGCTGCAGCCCCGGCTGGCAAGCTCCAAGCATCTCAGTTATGAGGCCGGGAAACCAGCCTTCAGAGGGGCCGCAGGCCACCCAGGGGAGGCCATGAGGCCATGTTCCCTCCTCCCACCTAGGCAGGGCAGGGCGTCCTATCCCCCGGGCTCACTTCAGCCCTATCTAGTAACTCAGAGCACTCTGCATGTACCCACGCAGGGGGCCAGGTCCCCCAGCCCTGGGGCTGGTTTGGCTCATCTGAGGATACTTGGAAGGATGTGTCCAAGACCCTTGACTCCCCTCACTGTGTGTGCCAGGAACCCTACATGACCTCCTACCTGCCAACCCAACAACCCACGATCCCAACCCAACAAGCAGCTTCAGAGGGTGGGCGGGCAGTGTGGAGAGAGGCCAGTCATGCCAAGGTGGCTGAGTGGCAGCCTCAAGGGCCTGGGAAACGTCTGCCCTCTCCAGAGCCTCAAAGCGTCTATTCAACACTCTGTCCCTCCCAGCACTCTGAACCCGAGCCTTTCTTCCTGAGGGGGCTGCAGGAAAAGAGCACACGCCTCCTACTGCAGACCTGCTGCCCTTCTGAGGGAGGAGCACCCCGCTGTGCGGTGGGCGGGCTGTTTAGACGCTGCTTTAGAGGTGCAGAAGAGCAGGAGACCCCTCCTCCCTGGAAACTGCAGAGGGGCCCCATTCTAAGACCCTTAGGCTCCTCGCTCCACCACAGCATCCAGCTATTGAAGCTGCTGGGACTTTGGGCAGTCACTCCAGAATGAATACGGCCAATGAGCAGAAAAGGGCCCCACCCTAGCTGATTCAGAGGGCAGAGCCCTGGTGACTTGTGCCCAGCGTCATCTGGGAACGCAGCTAGATCATGGAGGACAACAGCCTCCAAGCCACCTCCCTCTGCCCACCTCTTTCCCTCTCCGTGTGTGGGCTCAACCAGAGGTCCCAAGGCCGAATGGCCTGCTCAGTGCCTTGGCCAGCAGCCCTCACCTACACAGCTCCCACTCTGGCCCCGGTAGCCCTCCTCACAGGCCAGACAAGCGTAGGAGCCGGGGGAATTGACGCATCTCCCATCAGGGCAGGTACCGGGGTGACGGCATTCGTTGATATCTGCAAAACAGCAGCCCCTCCCTTGGTCATCCCTGGGAACATAGCACATGGGTAGGTCTGTGACACAGCAAATCCTTGTCCCTGCCCTTGGTTGGGGAGAGGGATGGACAGACAAAAACTAGGAAGGAATGACAGCTGCCCTGTGTTCCCAACTCCACCTCTCACCCACTGTCCGGGACAAAAGAGGGAGATGGAATAACTTAAAAATTAGAAAGGGAGACTCCCTGGGTGGGTGCAGTAGGCTGTGGTTACCACCAGCTGTGGGAGGGTCAGAGGATCCACTGTTTGGGATGGGCTTTCATCTATCCCCTGGCGAATTCCTAATCCTTTAGAAGCAGTGACCATTACTGGGACGTGCTTGGCACAGCAGCTCACTGGATTGCCAGAGGCTCCAGAATAGATCATCAGAGGGGCAGCGAAGGCAACTTGGGCTTCCTTGCACCAGGAAAACGAGGACCATGGAGGAAGCCCCAATCTTGGATATGGCCAAGACCAGCCCTGAGGCTGAGTGCAGACTGCAGGGTAGAGCTGGCAAAGCTTCTCTGCTGCAGAGTTGTCAGACATTTCTTCCAGCCAGGAATCACATAGGGATCCTGGCACCCACTCTGGTGAGATCCAGGAAAGTCAGCCAGAAGGGGTAAGCCTGGACACCAACTGGACACCCAGGGGATGAGGGGACCCAGGAAGGGAGAGTGGCAACAGGAAGAGGAGGGAGCTAGTTCTCCCCGGAGCCGTGGAGAGGGCTCTTCCCCATGTAACCTGTCATATCATGGGCTTCATCATCAAGGCACCCAGGGGACCTGGACTGAGTGAGGGAGGTCCTGTCACAGGGTCTGAACTCTGAGTCAGCACTGCCGGAGGACATTATGCCCCTCTGGCCCGGTATCAAGGCTCTGGCTCACTCTTCACAACAGGTCCATTGGCCAAGAAAAGAGGAGGGGTTCTTCTTCCTGAATGGGTAATTGTCATTCTCCTAGAGGAAGTATACCAGCTTATGCAGATTTAGAGGTCCTACTGCCCGAGAGGAAGACCTACTCAGCACCCATAGAGGAAGTGTGGGAGGCAGGCCTAGGGTCCGAAAACAGGCTTTCTGCAGAGGGACTAAAGCCAGCAGCTGTCACTGCAGTAGAGGACATGGACCCTAAAGGGGAGGGTGAACGTGAGTACTCGCCGAGGTTGTTTGGTTTCCAGAAGTCAGGACACATCAAAGCCCTCTGTCCCAGAGGACTGGGACCCTCTCAAGCCTAAAGTTTCTGCCTGAGGGTCCAGAAGACAGGGACATCGCCACAGGGCAGGTAGTTTTTCAGGTGGGTCTCTGCATTGAGAGTACCACAATTCCCATATAATCTTGGGGACACTGAGATAAGGCTCATCTCTGGCAAGAGGGCAGCCACAAGTAGGTGCCCCAGCCCCTATTTGAGTTGTGGTGATATCATCTTAACTATTCTAAGGGCTTCTGTAAAGACAGAGATGGAGAAAATAAAGGATCTAAGATGAGTAACTTTGGCCACCCAAGAGACAGAGGCCAGTGCCATGACCTGTTGGCCTTGGCCGAGGTACTTGAAGGAGGATGGACAAAGCCACTGAGAATAAGCAGCAATCCCTGTTTCAGGGATGCTGGATGACCTCTTCCAGGATGAAGAGAACGAGATTGAGGCAAAGCTCCTCCTAAATCCATGCCAGGAAAAATGAAGTCTTCGGACCTTTCCTGCAGGGATCAGGCAACGTGGGAAGGAGACAAGGTTTGCCAAGAACAAAGGGCCCTGAAGTCTGTCCTGCCCCAAACAGGCTGGGCACATCTCTTGGAGGTGGTGTGTGTAGTGTCTTAATGCTGGGCATTTAGGATGCATGTGGCATTCCAGCTCTCCACTTTCTGCACCATGGTAAGCTGGTGCCTCCTAGTCCCTTGTGGTTGGGTGGGGCCATGAGACTAGTGAAGGCCAATGAACTGTGAGTGGGTATGATATGGATATTTTATGGACCAAACCATTTAATTTGTGCAACGCTCCAGAGTGCTCTTTTATTCTTCCACAGAGACTGGCTATTCCTTTAGCCTACATCTCCAATGAGGAAACATGGGGCAGAGCCTCCAGCTGACCCTAATGGACATGTGGCACTGATGAGATAGAAGCTTGGCTGCTGCCAGGTGTGGTGCCTCGCGCCTGTAATCCCAGCACTTTGGCAGGCCAAGATGGGCGGATCACCTGAGGTCAGGCGTTCAAGACCAGCCTGGCCAAAATGGTGAAACCCCATCTCTACTAAAAATACAAAAATTAGCCGGGTATGGTGGTGGGCACCTGTAGTCCCAGCTACTCGGGAGGCTGAGGCAGGAGAATCGCTTAAACCCAATCGGGGAGGAGGTTGCAGTGAGCCAAGAGACTCTGTCTCAAAACAAACAAACAAAAACAAACAAACAAACAAACAAACTTGGCTGCTATGTCAATAAGATAGGTGCTGTTTGTTAACGCAGTATAACCTTGTCTATCTTGGCAGGCCGCTGCTGGTTCCCTTCCTCAGACCAGAGCCCCAGCCAGTGATGATCACATGTGAACGGGAAGGGGAGGGCAGAAGATGAAAGCAGCCCCTCAGACTCTACCTGAGACAGGGAAGGGCTCTCCTGGATGGAAGTGAATATCACTGAACCATTAGCCAAGCCAATTCAAAGGAGCCAAAGGAAGATTCTGAATGAAACAGCTTCTATCACCAGCTACCCTGAGGCTATCCCACCAGCATCTTGGTGCCTGGACTGGAACCAGTCACTGGATGCAGAAATATTCCAGTTTTTCTGCCTGGCCTAGGGTGTGAATGTTAATCTGAGATTACGGTGTGTTTTGGAGGGTTTTAATACTCTGTCTTTGAAGCCTGGAGCCATCTGTCTTCTTCCTGTGTTCCCAGCCCAAGCCCGACACAGCTGGTGCTCAACAAACGTTTGCTGACCAAAGAGTGGGAGAGTACGCCTCAGACCTCACCCTTCGTCTTTTTGGTATAAGGCTGCTGAAGAGACCCCAAAGGGCCCATGGAAACAATCACTCCAGAGACCAGCTTGCCAAGCTGCTGTCGGTTTGCTGGGAGAATCCTGGAGCTTCTCTAACCACAGATCAGCCTTTGGATGAGGAAATGTACAGACATTCACCTCTGCTGCTTGTGAGAGCATGGGGTGGGGGTGGGGAAGGCACTCAGGCAGGGGCCAGAAGCTCAGGTGACCTTGGTTATGGCTGGGCGACATGAAAGGCCCTGGCGGTCTGCAGGGAAGTCTATCCCCTGTCCGTGGGAACCTGGAGTCCCGGTATGACGGAAATGCCATTGAGACTGCTGGACGGGCCTCTGTCCAGACCACTCAGCCTTTCACCAGAGACTTTCAGTTTCAGTGGAGAGAGTGGTTTCTGAGTTGGAGAAAGAAGAAAGAGGGAGAGGAAATTGACTGGGCTCCCAGGGTGATGGGCCGGGTTTGTGGTTACCGATGGAAACCTGGAGAAGTGTGCGAGCTACATCATTCTTTCTTTCAACAGACTCAGAGTGTCTGCCCTGGGCCAGGAACTCTGCCTGACCTCCCAGATGAGGTGTGTGTCTAGAACCTTTCCTTGGGAAGGGAAGGAGAGGGCTAGGGTATGGGGGAGCCTGGACATGAAAAAGAACTACCCTCTGACGGTAACATTTCCCCTACTTACTCAGGGTCTGTACGTGCCAGACAGTGCCTAGCACTTTGTATACATTAGCTTATCCAGCGCTCACAAACATCTCTGAGATGGGCATTACAGTTCCATTTCCAGACATGCGTCAAAAGCCAAACCCAAGCCTGTCTGCACCAGAGCCTGTGCCCTTAACACAGACTGGTTAATATAAATCTGACTTTTTTTGTTTGTTTGTTTTTTTGAGACAGGGTCTCACTCTATTGCCCAGGTTGGAGTGCAGTGGTGCGATCTCGGCTCACTGCAACCTCCACATCCTGGGTTCAAGTGATTCTCCTGCCTCAGCCTCCCAAGTAGGTAGGATTACAGGCATGTGCCATCACGCCTGGCTAATTTTTGTATTTTTAGTAGAGACGGGGTTTCACCATGTTGGCCAGGCTGGTCTTGAACTCCTGACCTCCATGACCCACCTGCCTCGGCCTCCCAAAGTGCTGGGATTAATTACAGATGTGAGCCACCACACCCAGCCTAAACCTGATGTTTTTAATGTTCTGGTATTCTCTTGGTTCATTTCCTCTCATTTTACTTTTCTTTTTGATAAAGTCTAATGTCAAATTCACAGCGTCATTGTGATGCTTAAATGAGGTAATCTATCGAGGACCGAACCCAGCCACCTGGGACACAGGAGGCACCTGTCAGTGGTGGGTGCCATCACTTTCTGTTCTCCTGAAGATGCCAGGCTGTCTTATCTCCATCGTGCTAAGGAGGACAAGGCAGGTGGGTTCTGGCTTTGGTCATGGGTAGGCCTGAGTTTTAAAGGGGGAAGACCAAGAAGGAGTCATTGGGAGGTGACACACTGGGGCTGAAGGCAGAGCTGTCTGTCCTACACCTGCTGCCACCTCTCTGCTTTGCTTCTCTGGACTTTGCTTCCATGGTAGTGGCATTGGGAAGGGAGGCTGCCCTTTCACAAAGTACACAAGCTCTTACTCTGACTTCCAGGCCCTCTGAAAGCAGGCAAGTCCCAACCAGGGAAACCTAGAGGCTGGGAGGAGTCTCAGCCTAAGCTTGGACCCAGGGCCGTGTTCTTCTTGGACTGTGCCTGGATGGATTTACCCTCATTTCTTCCTGTCCCAGCCAGTCTCGAGAGCATATACCCTGGGCCTCCTACAAGCCTGTGACACCCCAGCCTGACAGGGACGTGGTGGCAGCAGAGCTGCCAGGGGTCTTCAGAGCTGGCATGAGATAGGCGCGGGTCTGTGAGGAGTCCAGTTAGCAGTGTCACAGCACCTTTTGGCTGGGTCTGGGAAAGAGAAGGATCTGGGGTCCCTTCCTCCCTCCCTCCTTTCCTCCCTTTCTTCCTTCCTTCCTCCCTCTAGCATTTGTTGGGTACTTATCAGGTGTCCATGCATGGGCCATCTAAAGATATGGCCCAGCCCTCAGGAGCTCACAATCTAACAAGCTTAACAAGAAGGCTGACACTCCCAGACACACCGACTCTTCCTCTGCCCCATGAGGAGAGCACATTTTTCAAGGCAAGAGGGCAGAGGTTACAGAGATGTTCCTAAGGTGTCATGTGGATAAAGCTGCTCATGCTCCCCTGCTGCAGCTGGCAGACAGGATGCCAGAATAGCACTGAGGGGATGGAGGGGCTCAGAAATTCCCATACGTGTCTCTGTCCATAGGCGTGGGCTCAGCATCAAGGGGCCGGGGCAGGGACAAGCTAGAAGGCGCGTTGGAGGTGGGCAGTGTTTGGGGAGGGAGAGGTGGGTAGTGGGGTGGCAGGGCGCCTCCCTCCTTCCCGTTCCTTACCTTGGCAGTGTCCTTTCCTGACCATGATGTAGCCCTGATCACACTCGCAGTGGTATGAGCCCTCGGTGTTGGTGCACTGCCCCCCGCTGCACACCCCTGGCTGCTCACACTCATTGATATCTGTGAACACACAGAAAAGCCCTGAGTCACAGCCAGCCCTGGAGGATGGTGGAGGGGGCGGGGTCCTGGAGCATTCCTTCTAGAGGCCAAGGACAAAGGATGCCATGCTGAGGCCTGGGCAGGGAAGGCATGCTTGCTGCAGCCACAATTGGCTGAAGGGGCTCCTGGGCCCAGTCTGAAATTAACTAGCTCAGGCCCCTGATAACCCTGAGTTCCTTTCTCTCAGGGGAGGCTACTCTGGGGACCCATGGGGATCCTTACAGCTGTTTCCTCACCCTCATGCAAGGGCTGGTCTGGAGGTGGGGTAGCAGTCCATATGGTATACCTTCGGAGGCCAAAAGGACTCCTACCCTGCTCCTGGCCCCACTATATCCCTTTTGGGTATGCTCCTGGAGTCCGTCCTTCCTTCCTTCATCGATTGATTGATTGATTGAGACAGAGTTTCGCTCTTGTTGCCCAGGCTGGAGTGCAGTGGCGCAATCTTGACTCTCTGCAACCTCTGGCTCACTGCAACCTCCACCTCACTGGTTCAAGCTATTCTCCTGCCTCAGCCTCCTGAGTAGCTGGGATTACAAGTGCCTGCCACCACACTCAGCTAATTTTTTGTATTTTTAGTAGAGATGAGGTTTCACTATGTTGACCAGGCTGGTCTTGAACTCCTGACCTCAAGTGATCCACCCTCCTCAGCGTCCCAAAGTACTGGGATTATAGGCATGAACCACTGTGCCTGGACTCCTAGAGTCCTTCCTAAGGACCTTCTTAAAGGTTAGGAACCAAGCAGCCAGTGAGGGATTGCATTTTAGGTAACCATGGATCTGTAGGGTGTAGTTTCTGTCATTTTTTCAAAGTATGTTGGTGTCCCACCATGGCTCTAAAGCCCAACCCAGCTTACACCCCTCCCCTGCTTAAACTCCTACCAGAGACCCGTGCTACCTCCAGTTCTGCTTGCAGCCTGGCTCACAAGGCCTTTGCCACCTGGCCCAGCTCTGCTGTATTTGCTAATTCACACAAGTCCCTTGGTATAGCCTCAGCTATTGTGGATTTCAGTGGTCCAACCTCCAAGCCTTTGTTCACACAAATGCTTCCACCTGGAGTCTCTTTCCTCACGATGGCCAGCAAATCCCTGCCCCCATTTCAAGGACTGGTTTAAAGCATCACCTCTTGGTCCTCTGGGTCCCCATCCCCTGTCCCCACAGTCAAATTAATCAAGGCCTCACCTTCCCACTCTCCCCCTTAAACTGGGACTGACACAAATACTTTACAGAGTCCTTGTGCAGATTAAATACAATAATCCAGGTGAAGGGTTAAGCACTGCGCCCGCCTGGCATAAGGTAAGCACTGCAGAAATGTTGGCTATTATTATCCTAATGTTAAACCCCATAAAATCCCAGCTCCTCAGCCTGGCATGTGAGATCTTGCATGACCGGCCCCAGCCTGCTTCTCATCTGTTTCCTGCTGCCCACACCTCTCCTACCCTTGCCTAACCTCAGGACCTGTTCCTGAGCCTCTGCCCGCACTGTCCCCTTGCCTGGAACAGCTTCCTACACACCAGCGTGACTGCCTCCCAGTCATCTCCAACCCAGCGTCCCCTGAGGGCCCAGCTCTCAGTGTACCTGTTCATCTACTTGCTTCTTCCCTAATGGGAACATGCCTTACTATCTCAGCATCTCCAGTGCCCAGCACAGAACCCCAGTAAGTGCTTACTGAAGGAATCGAATAATAATCATTTGTTCAAGGACAGTGTCTTCATTTGAGCAATACTTCATAAAACTCCAGTGCACAGCAAAGTCTCCGCCAGAAGGTGGGAAATGCACACTCCTAGGTCCACAGCCAGAGATTCTGATCCTACTCTACTGGTGGGCCCAGGAACTAACGTTGTTATAACTCTTCAGGCAATTCTGGAATAAGTGGTGTTCACTGTGAGAAGCCCTAATCCCAATGAAAGAGAGAAGGGAACTTATAGACAGAGTCATGTGTGGGAACCATTATCCCCTGAGGCCAGGACGACCGTCTGATACATGGTGCTGGAAAACTCCCTCGCTCCATGGAGAAAAATGGAGACGTGAATAGAGAAAGACCAGGTTCTTAACAGCCATACAAAGATGGACTCCAGATGAATCAAAGCATACCATAAAAGGGAGAACTAGAACTCAATTAAGGTACAGGAGAATATCTTCGTGACTTCAGGATATGGAAGGATTTCTTAAACAAAGCCCCCAAAACACACACAAATAAGGCAAAACGGTGAATTTCAGTACATCAAAATTAAGGATTTCTGTTCCAAGAAATGCGGATAAGCTTAAAGGATAGAGGACAAAATGGGAGCGTTGCAATTTCTAAACCCAGCCAAGAATCTAGAATATATAATGGACTCCTAAAGAGCCCCAGGAAAAAGCAGCAACCACTATTGGAAAACTGAGCAAAAATGGGAGCCAGCAGTTTACAGATGAGGAAACCCACAGGCTAATGTATGAAGAGAGCCTTACATTTTTTGGTAAACATTTACTTAGATATTTAATATGTAAACAATTTATCTTATTGATAATATAAATTATAATGACATATTACTTATATACATTATTTAAATAATCCATAAATCAGTATAAGTATCAAATCATTGAAGTAATGAGATATTACTTTATGAGACTGGGAAACTTCAGAAGGTGGGTGTTATTCTGGACAAGGCCTCTTCCAGTGGCAGCCAAGCCCCACTGGGAGAAGCACTTAGAGCCAGCCTTGAGCCCCAACTCCCGTCTCCCAGCTGTTGGGGCTGGTAGAGACATCTTGGACATCCGGGCTGGCACGTAGCAGAAACCCGTGTCTGCACCAGTCCTGGTGACACCATTCCCTGCAGCAGCTGCTGCTTATCCCAGGCCAGCTCCCCAGGCTGGGTCTGCAAAGAGCAGTGCCTCTGGCCCACAACACCCACCTAGACCACTGGAGCCCAGAGAAGCCCCCTTCCCTTAGCCTCTCTCCTGACTCCCCCAGCCTGTTCTGAGCCCTGCCCCTTGAGTCAGCTCCCCGGAAGGCAGCTGACCCAGTCACCACCGTTCTGCTCACAGACTTCTACTGGCAGCCCCTGCCTGTGAGACAGTGTCCAAATGCTTCAGCCTGGCACTCGAGACATTTCCCACACTGGCCTCTTCCTCCAGGTAGCTCTGCTCCAGTCACACTGCATTCATCATTATTCCCAGAGCATGCCAGGCAATGTTCACTATTTAAGTCTCTGCAAAGACGCTTCCCTCTACCTGGAGTACTCTCCGCTCCCTCCATTTCTATTCATGCTCCATGGTGGTGTCCAACACCCTGTGTGTAAGGGGAGTGTGTCTTTGGAAGCAAATCATGCTTTGGAGCTAGAGTGATTTGATTCTGTTTCTAGCTCTGTCACCACTAGGTATGAGGCCCCTGGGTATTTCAATTCACCTCTGAGCCTCAGTTTGCTAACCTATTAAATGGGGCTAAGGATTTCCACAACATGGATTTGGGATGATGAGCTTCATATAACAAAATGCGTGGGACAGTGCCAGCATATAGTAAGTGCTCATTAAATGGTAGCTATTCTTGGTCAGGTGCGGTGGCTCACACCTGTAATCCCAGCACTTTGGGAGGCCGAGGCAGGTGGATCACAAGGTCAGGAGTTCGAGACCAGCCTGGCCAATATGGTAAAACCCCATCTCTACTAAAAATACAAAAATTAGCCTGGTGTGGTGGCGGGCACCCATAGTCCCAGCTACTCAGGAGGCTGAGGCAGGAGAATGGCGTGAACCCAGGAGGCAGAGGTTACAGTGAGCCAACATTGTGCCGCTGCACTCCAGCCTGGGCGACAGAGCAAGACTCTGTCGTAAATAAATAAGTAAGTAAGTTAGTTAGTAAGTAACTAAGTAAATAGATGGTAGTTATTTTTATCTGCTCCAGCTCCAGCACCCAAATAATCTCATACAGAACTTGCTTCCTCATCTGAACCCTACAGTGTCACCATTCACACCTCACTCATCTCAGCATCGTCAGAGCTTGGCACACTGCCTGGCACATCGGTGGTGCCAACGCATGAGAGCGCAGTGAACACCGCCTGTGATTCTCCCGCTCCTCTGTTAAGTTAGGAGGTCTGCCCCTTCTACTTCCCTTCCCTCCATAATCAAGTGATTGGACCTGGATGGCTTTGGTTTCTGTAGCCTGGACCCTTGGAGGATTAGAACCCGAGGGGATCCTGGCAGCAGGAGGATACACAGCTTCCCTGGCCTCCTTGGGGGTCTGGCCAGAACCAGCCATGTGAGCCCCAAGCACAGGCAGGGCCCCTCTTGAGGTGAAGGATTTACAACTGGATTATGAATCTTAAGGTGTTGCTTAGAAAGTGCTCATATTATTTGTGAACTTAATCATAAAAATGTATGTGGAAAAAAATGTATGTGGGGTGTTTTGCATCATTAAAGGGTTTGAGTTGGAAGCGTATTTATCAAGGGTCCCCTGGCAGTGGGCCACATCTTCCCAGGGAAGTTCAAAGCCCTACAAGTGTCTCCAAGCTGCTGGGAACCCGTGCTCCTCGTTCAAAGGCACACTACTCCCTGGTCTGCCAATAGTCCCAGCCTGCTGTCCTCATGGGTCTCCCTCCTTCCCTAAAATGAAACCAGCTCCTTGTCACTCGGAGTTTGGGGGCCTGGTATATAGTCCTCATCTCCAGCCATGTCTCCTGACCCTGTGACACTCTTGGTTCCACCCACAATTCCTTAGGGCCTTTGCAGAGATTGCTGGCTTTTGGATTTCTACCCCTCCTTGCCACCGGCATAGGGTCAGCCTCCTCCCAGATCCAGGCCAGAGTTTTGGTCTCTCCTCCCTCAGCTGCTCACTCCCCATTCTGCAGCACGGTGTATGGGGGTGTGAAGCCCTGGTTCCTCTTCCACCCCCTTGAGACTGTGGGGCCTGGCCAAGGGCAAGGGTGGACTTGGCTTACCTTGACACTCCTGTGTGGCCTCCGAGGTGGCCAGCGTGTAGCCAGGGTAGCAGAAGCAGGAGTAGGACCCCACACGGTTGATGCAGCGCCCTTTTCCCCTGCAGGGGTCCCTCAGACACTCATTGTCATCTGACCAGAAGGAGGCAGGGAGGGAGGTCAGGGAGGCCAGCAGTGCTGTTCTTTGGGCAACTACCAGCAACCTGCCCACACTAGGGGCTGGGCAGGGGATGGTGCTCTGTGGCAAGGAAGGGGTGAGGGAGTGGAGGAGGCTGCGAAGATGAAAATCTCTAAGGCTGGAAGCCATAAAGTCAGCCCAGCGGGCCCACTCAGGCACCAAAAGCCTGGGGTGACTGCCAGCCCCTCCTCTCTGCCACTCGACTCCTTCCCCCAGTAGCCTCATCATTCCTTTCTCCTTTGAAACCACAGTGGATATTTCTCCCTTATTTGAAAATACTGGGGGGAGGAGGAATGAGGTCCACACTTGGTGATTTATCTTAGCCTCAGACCTCCCCCCAGGGATGACCCTGCTGGAGACATTTGCAACTGGGGCAGACCTTGGTCCACCTCCAGGCAACAAAATGGTCAGTTTGATGGGTGGGCTGATCTCAGAGCAGAGGGCTGCCAGGCACAGGTCAAGATGCATGCAGTGGGCTGGCTTCCATGCTCCTGGAGTCCTGGAGACTCATCGGATGGGACTCACCGAGACTAGTCTTCCCCTGAGGGTTACAGTTAGCTTTGTCCACAGGGACTGCGCTCCTCCTAAACTCATCAACCACCCAGCACTGCTTGGACCTTCTGCTTCTTCCTGGACTCTCAACTCGGCCTCCTAGCCCCTGCTCCCATCTACCCCGGCCGCCAAGTAAGCCCAGGGCACCCAAGTGAATACCCGTGCAGTAGGCCTGGCTGGGGTGCAGCTGGTAGCCGGGGCTACAGACACATCTGTATCCATCTGGGAGGTTCACACAGGTTCCAGGGCCACAGATGTTGGTGGCTCCAGCAGCACATCTATCAATGCCTGTGGGAGCCAGAGCAAAGCAGAGGTTATGGCAGGGTGGGTGCTGGACAAAGGCAGTGGAGCAGGGTGGGGACAATGAGTGGCCAGGGTCTAGGGGCCTCAGAAGGCCAACCTTAGCCAGGCCCTCCCTCCCATACCCATGCACAGCTTGGCCTTGCATAAGACCCTAGGGGACCTCTGCCCAGCACCCCGAGCCCTACCCAGGATGGAGGTCACAGTAGGGCATCCCCCCGCCACCAAGATCTAATAGGTCACCCATATTTCCAGCAAATTTGCAGCAAAACTCCTCCATCCTAACCCCACCCTGAAAATGAGCCCGACTCCTACCCAGTGCCCAGTGCCATTCCTCCCTGCAACTCCTGTCCAGTTTTCCCTGGACAGACAGAGAGACCTGGTGAGTAAGGTGCTTGGGGAAAACTGCCAGGGGAAAATGGGAGAGGTGAGCTGGGGTCAACTGAGCAGAGCCTTGAAAGCCACATTGAGACTGGCCTGTAACAGGGAGTTTGTGAAAGGTGGGGGTGGGTCAGAGCAGTCCTGGAAAGGCCACTCAGGCAACGAGATGATGGATGAACTGGTATGAGAGGTATGGTGGGTCCTTAAAACCTGTTGAAATAATGTAAATGAGAGTCTGCCGTGGGTGGTGGTGATGGGGTGAAAAGTGGGGAGACAGCTACAGAACTGAGAAACAGTTTGGAGGCAGACTCACTGGGACTCAGGGCTGAGGCTGTGTAGACAGCAGAGACTGTAGCTGTCTGAATGGTATCCCCAATACTAGAAAAGTACCGGGCACTTAGAACATGCCAAATGAATGAACAAATGATGCTTTTGCCGTTGTGTCCACCCTGAAGTCTTTGCCTGGAGCCCACATGCTCAGGGGTCCCTGCCCTGCCCCCATAGCTCGGGAGAAGCTGAAGACCCAAGAGAATGGGTTGGGAAGTGGTCTGTATGTGGGTATACAGTCTGCCAGATTGTACTGAATTGAATGTACACCCAAGGCTACCCTCTCCCTGGGCCTGGCTCCAACCCCTGGGGGTTGTGGGGGCCCTCAGCTGGGTCCTAAATGTCTGCCCAGAGGGGTGAGGTTACAGAAATGGCAGAGAAGGGGGATAGGGCAAAAGGCCGAGGCTGGTGGTGGCACTGGGGACACTCATGCACATGCCAAGAGCTACTGCTGAGCTTGGCCTGCCCCCTGCCCCCTGCTTCCCATCCCTTCCTCCAGGCTCACTTTCCTCATCAGAAATTCAGCACTCCTCTGCACACTCTGCCTGCGGAGCAGAGGCCAGAGGGGACGCTCCCTGGCGCAGCGCTTTCAGCCAGAAGAGACAGGTCCCGGGAGAGGTCAGTGGGGTGCACCTGGGAAGGCTGGACCCCCTCTCCCCACTCTCTGGGCTGTTCCACCAGGCTGCAGGGGCTTTCTCTTTGCTGGAGGAAATCCAGAATCCCACCATCGCCCTCACCCCCAACACAAGGTGACTGGGTCTCTGGACCCAGGCGTGAGGTTAAGAGAGCAGGAGCCCGGGGAGCGGGCACACACGTGTACAGTGGGCAGCGGCAACAACACCCGCCTTGCTTCTCCTGCACCAAGTCCCCAGACAATGAGCCTTTAAGGAGGGCACATTCCAGAGCAAGGTGGATTTGCCAGGATCACCCCCACGCCTGCCCCTCGCCCCCATCACTGTAGCTGACCAGAGGGAGAGGAATGCAGACTTGGTTAAACAACCTTGAGAAATAGAACCATGTTCCTTCCCGAAAATCAGCCCTCCCCGTGGGCAGGCAGTTGCTCGCTGCCAGGGCACTCTGCTGACTCAGGGGAGCGGCCCTCACTCCCCATGCTCCCCTTCCTTGAGAGGGACCCCCAGATTCTCCTGGGAGACCCCTGGCTTCCCTCTCCCATGGTGTCCCTTCTCTTCCCCGTTCTGGGCTTGGGCAGTGCTCCAGACTGGGCTCTTATTTTCACAAGAGGGACCCTGTGCTCTTTGTAAGATGAGGCCAGGGGTGCAGAGCCCAGCCGGGAGCCTGCTGGAGACTTTACCTAATTGGAAATGCGAGGGGGCATTCCACTCATGCCCCTGCCCTGGAGTTGGCTCTGGACAGACACAGCTCACAGGGCAGGGTGCAAGGAGCCCCAAAGGTCTGGCTGCAGCTACCTGGGGTGCTCAGGGTCACCAGCACATCGGTGGAGGGGGTCACTTGTTCTTCCTGTATCTCTGCAATCCCCTGTTCAGGCATTGGTGGGGTTGTGGCATTCCCTGCGGAGGAGAGAGGGGAAGAGGTGGAGTCACAGTCCCTTGGCCGGCCGTGGCCGCTCCCTTTTCCCTGGTGCTCAGACTTCCAAGAACGAAGGGTGAAGCCTGGGGTGGATCACTCCCATGCCTTCCAGTCTCCTGAAAGTTGATCTGGCCCCACCTAGAGAATCTGAGAGCTCTAACAGGCGTTGGAGCACATCCAGTCTAATGCTCTTTTATTTCAGGGCCAGGAGACTGAGGCTTGCAGAAATGGCCACTTGTCCAAGGCCAGCCAGCTTGTTGGAGGCACAGCTGACACCTGGGTTTCCTAATTCCCACTTCAACATTCTTTCCCTTCTGCTTACAAAGTATTTCACAGCTTACAGAGCTCTGCCACAAATACCAACATCTTATTTGCCTTGAGAAGCCACAAGACAGGCTTCAGTGTCTTCTACCATTTTATAAGAAGCATGAGCTCAGCCTTCCAATGTCTGAACCCAACACCAGTGACAGGCAATTAGTGGTTTCAGGACAAGGCCTCCTGGGGGAAAGAGTCTAGCGACCCAACCAACCACCTATTTCAGCTAGTGCTGTCTCTTTGTTCTGATTTATGTGCCAAGTGGTGCCATGAACTTTGCAAAGAGTTCTGTGGCTAGAAAACTATCTGTGAAGTGTCATGGGGTCTCTTGCTGACCTCACAGCACCTTAGGTGTATAGAGAGCTCCCAGAAACAGCACTCACAGGCCACGTCCTTCTCACCCTCCTCTGATGTGTGTGAGCGTGGACCAGCTCACACATAGTAATTCCACTCCTGATTAAGGCCTCTTTCCTTCCCTTCTCTTTTGCCTGGGAGCCGCCAGGAAGAGGGACTCACCTGTGACCCAGGCAGGTGTATGGGTGACACTGGTCGTGACCTGCACAGAAACAGGAGAAGGTCACTTTTGGCTCCTCTGTCGTCCCTGTGATGTGCCACCTTCCATCACACTCACCCCCATCTCCGGGCTTCCTACCAGCTAGCTCATTCACGTTTTCATTCATTCCAGGTATTGATGAGTTCTTACTCTATGCTGGGCATTCTGCCAGACACTTTATACCCACTCACTTCATTAACTTTCTCAACTATCTTATGATGGGAGATCGACATGATTAAATGAGCTGATGTACACACTATGCCAGCTTGGTGTCAGGTACATAGTAGAAAATCAGCAAGTTTGGTGTCAGCTATAACCCTCGCATCTCAACACAGTAACCGAAGCTCTGGAGGCTCACTAGAGTGCCTGGAGCCACAGGGCCAGTGTGGGAAAGCCAGACTGCAGGTTACACCTGGTGTCCCTCAACACAGCCAGTGGACAGAGGTTGCTGAGAGGGGGGACATAACAGAAGAGCAGGCAGAGGGTGGAAAAGGCCCTGGAGGCTGGCTGTGTCTGTGGGGACTGGAGTTAGAGCTTTGGCCTGGGAGGATGTCATATAGTAGCCCAGGGAGAGAACAAACCCCCTCGAAGAAACTGTATTTGGGGACAGTCAGGTATGCAGGGTGGAGGGGCAGGGGATAGAGTAGGGACTGAGAGGCTGATGAGGGAAGAAGCAGATCCCCTCTTCTGGAATGTTTTCCTGGGAGGACACCCAGTTTTTCCCAGGGGAATCTTGGGCACAGGGAAGGGAGTTGGATGCGCCTTTCTCAGTGAGGTGGTTTGAGGCTGTTCACAGCTGTGCCCGCACTTCCCCGTACACCACTCCCAGAGGATACCTGGAGGTTCAACTAAACCGGCGCAGAAAGTGCCAGACCCAGAATGAACTGGAAGCAGCTCCACACCCCATCTGCAGTGCTTAAAGCTTGAGTGACAGCCGGGCCTAACAGGGCATGTTCCTACTTCCTTTCTGAAGGGGCCCCAGCCCACCCTAAATGGGAAAATGCTTGCACGACGGCTGCTCCGTAAACAGGAGCTGTTGTTATCACTTCCTTTAGGGTAAAACGGTCTTTGGATCAATCCTCGCACTTGGTCATCTCTTCAAGTAAAATCCAACAGATGCTCCATCTTTCTCCCTCTCCTCTGTCATGAGACACTGCCCTGGGGCCTGAGCTGCTACCAGGTCCTGCTCTCTGCCATGCTTGCCCGGCCCCCTAGTGGGAGGATGCACTCACCTGGCCAGCCTGAGGGTCACCTGGAAGGGAAAGGTGACAGCGTGAGCTCAGGGAAGAGGGTCTGGCTGCCGTCTTCCCTCACCGCCACCTGGGCGCCTTCACAGTCTGCGCCCCAGACCACGTCCCCAGCAGGGCCGGCAGCACAGGAAGCACAGACTCTTCTTACCTGCCTCTGCCCCTTCACCCCTGTAGGGACTGGCCACCACACAATTCCAGGACTCCAGGTCTGCAGAGCCTGAAGATAGCTCAGTGCAGCCTCTCTCTTGGTAAGTGGAAGCCCTTGCTTTCCTGTAAGGCCTCGGGTGACAGGAGTCCCACCGGCTCCCGGGCCTGTCCACCCCATCCATCCTGGAGCCACCTCCTTGCACTGCTACCTCCTCTCTCCCACACCTCCCAGCCAGGCTGGGTCACACAGCCCCCTGCCCTGGGCTTTGGGCCAGGGGAACAGTTTGAGGAAGGAGTGGAGTTGCTCCAGGCTTGGCCGGTGTCCTGTGTCCACAACAACTGGGGCTCTGTCCTCACTTCCCTGTCTCTTCCAGATTCCTGGAGCAACCTGACCAATCACATAGCTTGTTGGCCCTATGATGTTCCAGGCCTCCTGCACTCAGTGTTACCAGTCACCTGGGCATGACTTCTCCACGGTTTTCAGGGCACTTGCAAGGAGAGCTTCATACCCAGCCGCCCTCCAGCTCCGTCCCTCTGGGGTCCAAGGCCATTGAGCTGGAGTTAGCACTCTGACTCTAAGGACGGGCCAGGGGTCTGGCATGCAGGTCCTCAGGACCCGCCTGCCAGCTATTCAAGCCTGTAGCAAGCACCAGCCCCAGAAGCTGCATGGCCAGAGGGCAGGAGATGGAGAGGCCTGATCGCTGGGGTGGGGGCTGCGGCTGACCTTTCCCACCTCCACAAGCTACTCCCTAGGGCGTGGGCACCTCTTGACCCCATATGGAAGAGGAAGTGGGTGGGGCCTTGCTGTTGTAACAAGCCATGAGAGAAGGCTGCCAGGGTTGGGTGCTGCCGCTCCAAGCTCCCTTTTCTAATGCCACAGAGATGGGATGCCCAGGCACCCAGGATGGACACCCACACTTCTCTGAGGTGCTGGAAACTTAGGGGAAAGGGGAATCCCTCAGGCGTCTCCCCCAGCTCAGATACCCTTGTCAGGGACGGTCCCGGCCTCGAGCCAGGTGTCTGTGATGACCCGGAGTGGCTGTCTGTCTGCTGGCCCAGGCAGTGCCCCGCTGCTCCTCTGCCCTTGCTCTCTTGGGGGCCTTGCCAGTTCCTCCTCCTCGGCTTTCCTCATGGACAGGCGAATGTCGGAGCTGGCATAGGTGTAGCCGTGGCCGGCAGGGCAGATCTCTCTGAAGGCCTCTGCAAAGCCAACAGCCGGAGGACAAGCTGAGAGGTGCTGTTCCTGCAGGAAACCAGGGCCCTCCTTTCCCTCCCTTTGGGAGACACGGCAATTATGGCAGCAAGGAGGGAGGGAGCCCCAGGTTGGGATAAACACGTGAACAGGCAGGGAAGACTAGTTTAGTCTTCCAGATTGAGGGAGGTCTACCCAGGCCCGGCAACATGGTCACTAGCCTTGAGGAAGCCCCTGGGCAGTGAAAGCTGGGATGGGGACAGGGGGTTACCTGTGCCAGGCAGAGGGCATTTCTCACACTCGCTGCCCCATGCTTTGCCCACACGGCTGCAGCAGCATATCTGCTTGGTGATTCGCTGGGCCAAAGGCAGGGTGCAGGTGTCAGGCCCAAGCGACCGGTAGCACAGTCCCTGCAGCATGGAGATGGCCTTGTCCGCTGCAACAGATACAGCACGTGGAGGTGGGCAGGTGGCCAGTGGGAGGGGAACACACAGCTGGGAGGGCAGTGGATGGAGGTGTGGCTGGCCACATGCACTCAGACTGGCCTGGCCCATATCTCAGTCGGGAAATTTGGAGCCCTGCAAATGCTCACAAGAACTTTAGAAGGAAGAGGCGTAGTGGAATGTTTCAGCACCTCCCCATGTCATGTGCTTGATGAGACCCGTGACTCCCCACCTGCATGTGGAGAACCTGAGAGCAGGAACTGAGGATGCAGCTCCTTGTCTCTAGTGCTGAGTTTAGAAGTGTTTGCTGAAGGCCCCACGTGTCCCTAGGGTTGAGCAGGGAGCAGTATGTCCTAAGGACCACGGCCTCTGTGGGAAGATGAGGCAAGCTAAGGCCCGATGGGGAGCTCAGAGGACAGGGACCCTATATTGGGTCATCTCTGTCACCCAGGCACCTTCCATAGTGTCTGGTGCATGCAAATGCTTAGTAATGCTTGTTGAATCTATGCATGGATGGCTAGGCCAATGAGCCAATCAAACATGGAATCAACCAGCCAATCAAAATACTGAGGGTCACTGTGCGTTTGAGCTACACTGGGCTTAGGTCATAGCAATGCCACCACCCTTATCTCCTTTCTTGTACTTTGATAATAAATATTAAAGAACAGTTTCTGTATGTTATCTCAATGGAAGACGAGGAGGCCATGCCAGGTTGGAAGAGTCTGGAATCCGTAGAGGGCTGACTGGATTCTAAGAGGAGGACAGGTGGGGTGAAGAGGACATCAATCAAAGTTTAGGAATGAATGATTCTGGGGAAGTCCTGGTCAGGCCCAGGACGCAGCAGACCAAGTTCGAATCCCTGCTCCACCATGAAGTACAGGACCTCCTTGGGCCTTAGCTTCTTCACATGTAAAATGAAGATGAGAATGATCATTCCACGGCAGGGGATACCTGTATTTCTGCCTGCCCAGAGTCTATGTGCCATATTCCGGTATAATCACCCTGTTTCTCCTACGGGAACCACCCCTTTCCCACCCTTGGTCCATGTGACTGGAGTGGAGGCTGGCGCCTTTCTGGCTGAAGGCTTGTGGTCCATACCCCTGGTTCCAGTGACTGGGTCAGGGATGGGCACTTCACCAAGGAGGCCCAGTGATAATCAGCTTCAAGACTATTCCTGAGTGATGGGAGAAAAGGGGCTCATTTTTTATTGAGTTTGCAAGGCTGAGAGGGTGTAGGCCTAGAGCATCTGGTGACCACCTTCGAAGGAACCATGAAACTGACACAGAGGAAAGAGCAGGACCCCCCCTGCAGACACTGTGGCTGACTGATCAGCCAGCCTGAGGCCACACCACGCCTGCACTTCCTAGTTGTGTGAACCAATGCTTTTGTTTTTTTTTTTTTGAGAAGAGTCCCGCTCTGTTGCCCAGGCTGCAGTGCAGTGGCACGATCTCGGCTCACTGCAACCTTTGCCTCTGGGGCTCAAGCCATCCTTCCGCTTCAGCCTCCCAAGTAGCTGGGACTACAGGTGTGCACCACCGTGCCTGGCTAATTTTTAATTTTTTGTAAAGACAGGGTCTCACCATGTTGCCTAGGCTGGTTTTGAACTCCTGAGCTCAAGTGATCCGCCTGCTTCAGCCTCCCAAAGTGCTTGCATTACAGGTGTGAGCCGCTGTGCCCAGCCCCAGCAAATTCTTTTTTGCTTAAGGCAGTTTGAGTTTGGTTTCTGTCACTTGCAATCCAAGGACTCCTGATTAATAAACTTCGCCATGGAGATTAAATAGAGTGAGGTGTGTGAGAGCAGCTTGCCAAAGGTCATGTGCTCGCCACAGGTAAATCACCAGCCCGTCTGTGAGCCCTGGATCTCCAGGTGCAATTTCTGCTTCTAGCAGCCACTTCCCTTGGGACACTGTAAGGAAGGGCTCCGTCCCTTTGAACCCCAGGGTGGAGATGACCCAGGTGGGAATATCAGGAGGCTGGGGCAGCCCTGCAGACTGCTCCACTGGACCTGGTCAGGTGGCAGGGAGGGAGGGAGGCAGAACCCAGAAACAAAGGGAAGAGAAACTTCGCACTGCCCATCCCACTTGCAGGGAAGTGAATCGCCGTGGGAGGCTTGGGGGAGTAACACCAGAGACAGAGGGGAAAAGGACACTAGAGACATCTCTGCTTCCCTGTATTAAGGATCTCTTTCTGGTACTCATAAATAAGTCACCTTGGATGTCAAACACACCTGTCTGGTAAAGGGATCTTAAGTGATGTGGAGTAGAAGGTAGGGTTGTAAGCCTCTCAAGGCCTTGATCACCTGCCACTGCCACCATGGAAGTTTCTTGAGAGCGGCCTGACATGTTCTCCCCACGCTGGACCCCTCACTCTCTGGGCACCCCCTTCCTATAGCTCTTGCTGTCTTATCTCCCTAGAGCCACTGGGTTCAGTCTCTGGGTGGCACTGGAGTCTTGTTCAACCCCATGGCCCTCCCAAACCCAGTACCAGAAAGTTTGCAGACTGAGGGCTTGGCCGATTGCAGGGAGCTCTGCTGAGCTGAGAGCGGCCCATCCAACCTGGGCTGCTGCCTCCCAGAGGCCAGTTGGGACTGGTTTTATTTAGCTCTGGTCCGGCCTTCCGGCCCAGGGAAAGCCCCATCTGGGCTGTGGTGTCAGTTCTGCCACTGGGGGTTACTGATAGCCTGGGCCACTCCCCCTGGAAACCACAGAGGTCTCTGGAACAGGGCTGCCTGGCATACATGCAGGCACATACCTGGACACAATGCTAATGCCCACTATGTGTTCATGGATGAGGAGAAACTTCAGAACCACAGGGGCCACAGGATTGCGGAAAGGCCCTCAGGTCGGGCAGTAGCTCCATGAATGCTATGGATAATCCTTCTGGAAAGGTCACTCAGCAGCCAAGGCTCGGCCAGACATCACAGCAGAGGCCACCCCCACCACCCCCACCCCCCCCCGCCGCCAAAGAAAACGAGGCTACGCATGCAACAGAAATGATTAGAAAGAAAAAAAAAAGAGAAATAGAAAAGATGAATTCTAAACTGCAAAGGCCTGGAAGAAATGCCTAGTATAAAAAGGGAAGTAGTAACCATCTCTGTTCCAGCAGGATGGGCTGATCAGGTTTTCACACTGGGGCCCAACTCCAGATTGAGTAGCAGACACAGGCCCTGAGCATGGCATGATCAGGTCTTGGGAAAATTACTGCCCTGGGCTGGCCTGTGGACCTGAAGGGTCCCATCTTGCCTCCCAGTGTCCTCCCCAACCCCGTCCCTACCAGCACTCACACACACAGCGGCTCCGCGATGGATCCAGCATGAGGCCAGGTCTGCATGTGCACAGGTAGCTGCCCCTGGTGTTCACACACTCCGCATCCTTGCACAGGCCCAGGGTCAAGCACTCATTGATATCTGCAGAGTTGGAGGAGATGACCAGCTCATGCCCCTGCCCTGGAGTTGGCTCTGGACAGACACAGCCCACAGGGGGCCTGATGGAGGGGAGGGGCGAGGTGGAGATCCTCAAATACCCTCTCTAGACAAAACAACAACAAAAGAGCTGCTATGTATTCAGTGGGATTCCTCTACCTGGGCCTCAGTTTCCTCACTTGTAAAATGAGGATAATGATAGTAACAACCAGACGGTGTTAGATGGATAAAATAAGATCAAACTGCAAACCACTTAGTTCAGTAACTGGCATGTAACAATGATCATAATATTAAGAGCTAATGTTTGTTTGTTTGTTTGTTTGTTTTTGAGAGACAGTCTCACTCTGTCACCCAGGCTGGAGTGCAGGGGTGTGATTTCAGCTCACTGCAGCCTCCGCCTCCCAGGTTTAAGCAATGCTCATGCCCCAGCCTCCCGAGTAGCTAGAACGACAGGCGCGTACCACCACATCCAGCTAATTTTTGTTTTGTATTTGTTGTAGAGATGTGTTTTCACCATGTCGCCCATGGCTGGTCTCAAACTCCTGGCCTCAAGCAGTCCAACTGCCTTGGTCTCCCAAAGTGCTGGGATTATAAGCATGAGCCACCTCATCAGGCCTCAAGCACTAGTATTTATTGAGCACCTATTACATGCTACATACTCTGCTGGGTATTAACATACAATACCCCATTTAATTCTCACAAACAATTTTATCAAATAGGCCCACACGTCCTCATTTTATCGGAGAAGAAACTGAGGTCCCAGGAATAACCAGGTCACCCACTGGTTTGGGGAAATTGGCACTGGGCACAGAGTCACTTAGCTGGAGAGTGGCATGTTGACATGCAGACAGGAAACAGATTGAGGGGACTGTTTGGGTTGGAAGGTGGAGAAGGAGCAGCCAAGTCCCTCCTATTCAGCCTTCCTCCAGAGGTCCCTGAAGCACCTCTGCAGGGCTCAAGACCCTGGGAGCATGACTGCAGTGAGCTGGAGGAGGGGGGACCCTGGTAAGGAAAAGGAGGCAGAGGCTGGAGGAAGGCACTGAAGGGGAAGGGGATAGCAAGGGTGCGCAGAGGCTGAGGGTTAGAAGGGCACATCTCCGGCTCCTCCTGAACGCCCTTCCTTGTGCAGGCTGCACATATCCCCCCAAAGACCCGTGGAGGCTAATGCTGTTCTTCAAATAAGGGAGGTGCACTGGTTTCCTCTGTGACCTCAAAGAGGAAACCCCCTTTTCCTGCTGCAAACTTCTCCCTGCCAAGGGGAAGTCTCAGCCCCCGCAATCTGAGCTATGAGGAGTCGGAGGCCATCTTGATGATGGCACTTCTGTTGATGATGGTGATGGCAGCAGAGATGATGTGCATGAATTGCTTGTGAGGGGCACCTACCTCCAGGCCAGGCGATAACATAGGCAGCCCTGTGTCTGCAGAGCCAGGTCACCCACTGGTTTGGGGAAATTGGCACTGGGCACAGGAACAAGGGACTGAAAGGTGACCCAGCCTGAGTACCAAGGGGCACTACTCCTTGATAGGATGTGCCATTGTGACAGGGTGCCAGTAAGAGCTGGGAAGGTGCTACTGAGAAATGGGAAAGGGCAGTGATCCATATGCATCCAGACTGTGGCCACAGTGGGATGTGGACCTCCAAACCCAAGTCTGACTTGCTTCCCTCTGCTTAAGAAGCTTCTGGGTTTCCCATCACTTCTTAGAGGGAGGCCCTAAACCCTAACATGGTATCCAAGGTCCTCCACCGTGTCCCTAAAGCCTGTGGGTAAACAGGTGGCTCTGATGAGACACTGGCAGACCCGTGGCATCTCCCGTGTGTACACAGGCCACGTACATAGTACTTTCTGGGACACTCCAGACAGCGCAAAATATTCTTTTGCTGATGGTGTTCACATTGCCTGGAGAGCTTGCATCCTCTTAGTTGGCCAACTTGTACTCATTTTTAAAGTCTTGGCTTGGGTATCACCTCTTCCAGGAAGCCTTCCCTGATCCTCCCAGTCTGGGAAGGGGCCCCCACCATGGGATCCTGTAGCACTCAGTGACCGCTGCTTTCTCTCAAGAGCACTCTGCTCATTAGATGTGATTGTTCAGGGGTCTATCTGCACCTGGGGCAGGACTGTGTCTTCTCCATCACTGTGTACTCAACACCTAGCACAGTGTATGTAGCCCATAGTAATCTCCCCTCCAATAGCTTGTGGAAGTAGGAGGGAAGGATGGAGAGAGAGAGGAGAGATGACGTGTGCAGGTGCAGAGGTGAGCAGGTCCCTTCGCAGACACGGAGACCACAGCCACATACGTGGGAAAGGGAGGTTTCAGGGGCAGGGCCTCCTGAGGGAAGGTCCTTGGGTGTCCTGAATCTTGGGGCTCCGTGGAGGGAGGGTAGAGAACCCATTTGAGATCCTGAGAATAACCTTAAAGCTTCAGACTGGGAAACCCACCAGGAGGAAAAGCAACTGGCGACCGTTTAGATATGAACAGCCCCGATTTCCCTCCAAGGGCAAAAATACGTATTTCTCCCTAGAGCCACTGTCTGCTTGGCCCTCAAACCACTGGCTCCTGAGGAAGTCTGACCCTGGACTAGGCTGGGCCAGAGGTCTGCCCCTTTGCTCGGCCCCAGCACCTTTGCTTATCCACAGGCTAGGGATCACTTCTGCAGCCTGGCACCCCCGAGGGAGACAGCCCAGTCACGCAGAGCTTCCCCAGACTCCTCTCTCGGAAGCAGCCTCCAGAGGGAGGGTACCGGGGAGGCCACCTGGGTCGATCCCCTGTCTCTGACCCAGCTCCATCCAAAGCAAACCATACAGACAACTATTTGTCCAGTTGTCCAAGCTCCTCACAGGGAGGCCACCTTGTTCCCCACTGGCCTCTGCCAGCCCCAGGAGCCTGTCCCTGGCAGGAAGCCCCCATGCTCCCCGCCCCCCTTCCTGGCTGTGGGTTGAAGCAAGTGGGAGGGAGGCCTGAATAGCTAAGGGTTTTCAGTTGGGAAAAGCCCACAGAGGCCCCAACAACTCAGGCTGACTTGATTTCCCACCCTGGAGCTGAAATTCTTCCCATGCCAGGGAGACCAGCTCAGGAGGAAAGCAGAAGTGCAGGGACTGCGGCGGCCCCTTCGGACACAGCCCCGCATAGCCTAGAGACCCTAGCCTGTGTTCCAGGTGGGGGTGGGTGGAGATGGGGAGGAGGGCAGGTGTCGGCCCCCTTGGCTTCCTCTGTCACTCTCAAGCAAGTCCCTGGATTTCCTTAGGCCCCTGGAATCAGCAGCCTCCCACCACTCCCCCAAGCTGGGGCTTAGAGGGACTCAGTGGAGACCACTCGACCAATGACAGACACTCCTCCTGTCTGGTGCTGGGAGTGTGTCCCGGCATCCCTGAGCCCAGCCCTGGCCCTAGGGGTCCTACCTTGGCAGTGAGTGAGGTTCAGTCTCTTGTATCCCTGAGGACACTCCAGCTGGCCATTCTCAATCACCGGGGAGGCTGAAGAGTGGAGATACAAACAGGTCTCACTGGAGGGCCCCTAGGCTCCTCTGTCACCCATGCTGGGAAGGGGTGCAGTCTGGATGTCCAGCCCACCCAGCAGCAGTGAGCCCCAGCCCCTGAAGCCATCGTCCTGGGCAGCTGTGCTTCCTGGTTCTCACCAGACTCCTCTCGGCCTACCTTGCTTTTATTAAAAGCAGTACTAAGTGAAATAAGCCAGGTACAGAAAGACAAATATCACAGATCTCACTGATATATGGGACCTAAGAAAAACAAACCCACAGAAGCAGAGTAGAATGGTGGTTACCAGGGCCTGGGGAGAGGGGAGACAGTGATCAAAGGGTACAACATTTCAGTCAGATACAGGAGGAGTAAGTTCAAAAGATCTGTTGTACAACATAGTGACTATGGTTAATAACAGTGTCTCGTATTCTTGAAAATTGCTGAGAGAGTAGATTTTAAGTGTTCTCACCACAAAAAATAAATATGTGAGGTAATACACATATTAATGGGTGCAATTTAGCCACCTTACAATGTATACCTATTTCAGAACAACAGTTGTGCACCGTCCAGGCGCAGTGGCTCACACATATAATCCCAGTGCTTTGGGAGGCCAAGGCAGGTGGATCACCTCAGGTCAGGGGTTCGAGACCAGCCTGGGTAACATGGTGAAACCCCATCTCTATGAAAAATATGAAAATTAGCTGGGCGTGGCAGCACATGCCTATAATCCCAGCTACTCAGGAGGCTGAGGCAGGAGACTCGCTTGAAACCAGGAGGGGGAGGTTGCAGTGAGCCAAGGTTGTACCACTGCCCTCCAGCCTGGGTGACAGAGCGAGACTCCATCTCAAATCAAACAAAACAGTTGTGCATCACAAATATATACAATTTTTATTTGTCAATTAAATTTTTAATCCTAAAAATTGTATTATATACTTCACATATATAGTTATAACATTACATATAGTATATACTATACTATGTGCATGTCATGTATATAACATGGGTTTTATTGTTATAACTTTTTGCTTTTTATTTTGAAATACTAAAGATACACAGATGTCTGATTGCAGATTGACCAACAAGGAAATGATTCTCAGTATTTTTATGCTGATACACATCCTGCCTTGATATCACAACATTCCCCCTTACTTTACAGAGGAAAAAAAAAAAACCTCAAACAGTTGACATTAAATAAAAACAGGGGAAAAAAATCTCCATTACTTTGGGGGAACAGACTAGTGTGCCAACCCTCTTGAAAAGCTCTAGCAGGGGGCATACTTCTGATCACCACCTGTCTTCACAGGAAAAGGCAGGGGAATACTATATTTTGTGGAACAAAAAGAGAACTCAGCTATAAGTTTGACAATTCTTTTGCCTATAGCTAGCCAGCAATTCTAAGCAGGCGCGAGCAATTGCCACAGACCTTATTCCATACAAATTTCCAGAAAGACACTATGATGTTTCAAAGGTCTTGCTCTATAAAGCTAGCTGCATGGTGGCTTCCTGTAGCAATTTGCCTTCTTCTAGCTTTGACTCCTTTGTGGCAATAGCTTGTCTCTGAATGCTGCACCCTCCATCTCTGTCACCTTATCCCAATTCCTTTTTCTCCCAGTCGTAACATCAGCAGCTACACTTTCAGAGTTGTTTGCTAAAGCTTCTTGTCATCCAGGAAGTCATTTACTGTTGAGAATATATGTTCACTGGTTCATCCTTTAGTGATTTACAAAAAGAGAGGTCTTCACATATATATATATATTTTTTTTTTTCTTCTTCTTCTTCTTCTTTTTTAAGATGGAGTCTTGCTCTGTCACACAGGCTGGAATGCAGTGGTGTGATCTCGGCTCACTGCAACCTCCACCTCCTGGATTCTAGCTATTCTCCTGCTCCAGCCTCCTGAGTAGCTGGGATTACAGGCATGCACCACCATGCCCGGCTAACTTTTGTATGTTTAGTAGAGACAGGGTTTTGCCATGTTGGCCAGGTTGGTTTCAAACTCCTGACCTCAGGTGATCCGCCTGCCTCGGCCTCCCAAAGTGCTGGGATTATAGGCATGAACCACCGCACCCAGCCTTTCATGTATTTTTATTGTTGAAATGAATTATTGCAAATACCAAGAGGCACGTTAGAGATATCTATACTTTTGTCCAATTGTACAGCAAAGTTGAGTGTCTTTGTGGTTTAAAATGTTTTTCTAATCAAGATAGCTTTTATTTCACCATTAGCTGCTGTTTCTGGGCACTTACACACTTAGTGCAAGGTTTGTTATTAGTAATGGCCTATATCAATCTGTATTTCATATGGTCTTCTTGATCATTTGGATCCTGGGGTACTTGGGGGTCACATCTGATAGGTTGTCACGATTTTTACATTGTAATATGGCTGATGACATGGTATAAGACCCCCTGAGAAGGGTCAGCATTGCGTTTTTTAATGATTGCTTATGATTATGGGACTAGTATTATTTTGCATCCACGGTTTCTTTGCAGGAGCTTTTCAGAGCCACCTCTCCATTTGGTGTGGGTTAGTTTAGTTAACACCAGAACACATAACTAAAAAATCCAGTAATCACAGCACTGTGAACTGCACTGCGTTGTAATATGCCAAAGACAAATAGAAGGAGGTGCCACATTTTCTTGGAAGCCCCACTCTTCCCTGAGGACACACTGTGTGCCAAGCATGACATGTGACAGCCTGACATAGGGACAGACCAAGTGAGGACATAAATTAGTAACACTTAACTTTTTTAAGATTAAAAAATGTAAACTGAAGTTCAAAAATGTTTTCCTGCCAGGACTGGCCCGCTCCGGGTTTGCACGTTCCATGTAGGGACCAGGGTCCAGCCTAGAAGGCCGCTCTTGTGGAGACACACAGGGATTCTGAAAATGCTGAGAAGGAGATGGAAAGATGGGAGTGAGGCTGGGAAATATGCATGTCCCTGGCTCGGGGCCTGGTGGTATAAACTGAGGACAGAGAGGAGGGAAGAAAGAGAAGTCATTTGGAGAAACTCAGAAGGCAGGCTGATTAGATGCAGCCCGTGAACACTATGAGGAGCAGAAGGTAGGAAAGAATAATGCAAGGCTGCTGCCAGAGGGCCGAGGAAAGAGACCAAGTGCACATTTGTCCAGTGCTTCAGAGTTGCAAGGCCATGGGTGCACATGGTCCTGTCTGTTTCTCACAACAATTATACCCTAAGGCAGGGACCATCATCCCCAATTTACAGATTAGGAAAGCAAGGCTCAGTGAGGGGTAAGTTAACTGACCCAGGTAACAAAGTTGCTGGAGCAGAGGCAGGGTTGAAATCGGGCCTCTAGCTGTGAAGGCCACATCCTTTCTCCTACCTTCTACTGTGCTTCTCTAAGAGAGAGAGAGATCAGGAAGAGCTGGGGAGCCAGCAGGCCAGGATGATATCAACTCTCTAGATGTCAAGAGGGAGAAATGATGCTGGGCATGGTGGCTCACACCTGTAATCCCAACATTTTGGGAGGCCAAGGCAGGAGCATCACTTGAGCCCAGGAATTCAAGACCAGCCTGGGCAACATGGAGAAACCTCGTCTCTACAAAAAAAAATACAAAGATAAACTGGGCATGGTGGTTCGCGCCTGTGGTCCCAGCTGAGGCAGGAAGATCACTTGAGCCTGGCAGGTCAAGGCTGCAGTGAGCTGTGATAATGCTACTACACTCCAGCCTGGGCAACAGACGGAGATGGAGACAGAGACGGAGAGGGAGAGGGAGCGGGAGAGGGAGGAAGCAGAGGCCCCTGCTTCTTTAGTGATCAGAAGGGGAGCAGCAGAGAGCTTGGATTAGAGCAGGAAGCAAGAGTGGAAACAGCTGCTGGCACCTGTGGAAAACTGTGAGAACCCAAGGAATGGGTGAAGCTGAGAGGAGCTAGGTCCACCCATTAGTCTGGATACATGTATGTGCTTTTTATATAAAGTGGTCTCCTCCTTAATATGGGGAACCTGCCCCCTCTGCCGCTGGCCTGAAGGGAGTGTGTGTCGTGGGCAATTCTTCGTGAAGGCAGGCTTCTAGAGGGAAATAAATGCCAAGCCACTGTCTCTGGGGAAACTCCCATTTTTGCCAACAACCTCCACCCTGAAACCAGGGCCCTCAGCGCCCCTCCTCGCACCTCCCAGAGGCAGTCTATAAGGGGCTAGTTCCTAGCTTCTGTAAGACCAAGTACAGCATGGAATCTGAAAGATCAGGTTAAGGCCGGGCACGGTGGCTCATGCCTGTAATCCTGGCACTTTCAGAGGCTGAGGCAAGTGAATCACCTGAGCTCTGGAACTCAAGACCAGCCTGGGCAACATGGCAAAATCCTGTCTCTACCAAAAATACAAAAAGTCAGCGGGCGTGGTAGCATGAGCCTGTGGTCCTTGCTACTCAGGAGGTTGAGGTGGGAGAATTCTTTGAGCCTGGGAGGTAGAGGTTGCAGTGAGTCAAGATCATGCCTCTGTACTCCATGCTGAGCAACAGAGTGAGACTATGTCTTAAAAATAAATAAATAAGGCCAGGCGTGGTGGCTCATGCCTGTAATCCCAGCACTTTGGGAGGCTGAGGCGGGATGATCATGAGGTCAGGAGATCAAGACCATCCTGGCTAACACGGTGAAACCCTGTCTCTACTAAAAATACAAAAAATTAGCCGGGCGTGGTGGCAGGTGCCTGTAGTACCAGCTACTCGGAGGCTGAGGCAGGAGAATGGCGTGAACCTGGGAGGCAGAGCTTGCAGTGAGCCGAGATCGCGCCACTGCACTCCAGCCTGGGTGACAGAGTGAGACTCCGTCTCACAAAAAACAAAAACAAAAACAATGTATGTGTATATATATATACATACACATACACACACACACACACACACACACACACACACATATGAATAATTCAGGTTAAATCTCCTTGGGAGAAAGTGGAAGTTTAGGTGGCCAGGTGGCTCAGGGTGAGAATTCGGCAGCCAGTGAGCTTTGTGACAGGTGAAGGCAGGTGACACCTGTCACTGTC